CTCCTGACCAGCCTGGCAATCCCCCCCCTCACCTCCCCTTACCTCCCTCCACCACACCACCCCCACCCCCAGGACACATAGTGCTTCCTGGCAGTTCCACCTTCCCATTCACTAAGGGTCACTCTGAACACTCCCTCACATCCAGTGAAGTGGTTCTGGTTAGCCCTGCCCCCAGAATCCATCCTTTGGATTTCCCCTCCCGCTCCATCTGCCTGACCTCTGGTCCATGCCCTGGCGGTCTATTGCCTCCTCCTTGGTCCTGTTCTGCCCTTCCCTCATTGTCAACTGTTGCTGCTGCACTGTGAGCTGTCCTGAAACAGTGGCTTGGAACAGCCATTGTCTTGCAGCAGGTGGCTCTGGGTCATGAACTGCATGATAAAGTTAAATGCGTGAGGAATGCAGGAGGAAACTGAGTCACAGAGGATACCAGGCATGTGGTGTGACTGGAACCCAGAGCCCTAAGCATTTCTGACAGTTTTCTGGACTCCCCTGGGATGGCTGGCGCTGCCCCTGCATGTGGCTCTCTGCTGCCATCTTGTGAACCTGGGATCACACACTTCTCTAGTGGGAGGGCTCGGTATGGAAGTGGGTCTTGGCACATGACTCCAGGGCCCTTGTTGTCATCTAAAGGACTGAGTTCACGCTAGCCATGGGGAAGGGTTCAGGAAGAGAGAAAGACTGGTGTCCCCTTGGACCTGGCACCAAGAGGTCCCCTCTGCTCCCTCCCACTAATCCATAGTTAAACCCTTGAGGTGACTCTCGTACCATTGCGGCCTCCTCACCAGCCAGACTTGCCCTCCCGGCTTATCTAAAGTGGCCTTGGAAAGGGTCGGTCTTGGCAGATCACTTATCATGGTCTAGCTTACCTCGGCCATCTTCCAAGTGCCTGGATCATCCCTGCAAGACTGTCCCTCTTCCTGCAAGCCTTTGCCTGAAAAAGGCCTGGACGGCAGGGGTGCCCATTACTCAGGTGGAGAAATCACCAACCTCCCATTCTGCCTTACAAGGTTGCTCAGGCCTCTCTGTCTCACTGACTTGTCTCCAAGGAGGAGTGGGCATGTGAAGACAAACGGACATTTCTCAGAGATTTAAAGCAAAGGCTAGCTGATGACAGTTGGGAGCCTGTGGGAAGTGGGTGTTGCAGACAGAGCCTTGAATAATGCTGAGGGGAAAAAAAAATCACCTCTGGGTAAGCAGAGGCCATGGAGATTAAAACTAGGACATGTCCCAGGATGCAACAGGGCCTGTGGAGTTTCAGACCTCCAGCCCACTGTCCAGGGGGTACTCCAGGACAGTACCCCCAATACTCATATTTGTACATATGCTCACTCTCACAAGTCACACATACTGTACATTTGACCAATACCCACACTCCTTCACGTGGCAAGGTTTCCATACCACTTCATCAGCATATCACACACAGAGCTTGCAAGGAGTGGCTTTGGCTTCCAGGACCCAACATAGGGACCTCAGTGGGAGAGGATACCCAGCTTCCTGGAGGCCTGGCTGCACATGTCATACCTCTGACCTCAGGGACCATGTTTCCGGAGGCCTGCAGTGGCATAAACAGAAGTCAGTTGTGGTTTTTGCATTCCACATGGTGGCTTTGCTTTTAAAAGCTATCTATGTGCAAAATTACAGTTTCACCCAACTATGATTTGTGTCCAAGCAGGGGACCCTGTGATGGCTCCCTAAGAAGAGGTAGGGGTCTGATGGAAAGGCATAGTTTTGAGAATACACACCCAAAGAACAGTGGCTTCTTTGCTATGTGAACGGGCAGGCTCTCCAGGGAACGTGGTGGACAGTGGAGGAAAAGAGAGAACAAGAAAAACTAGAGACTCAGGCAGTGGAGCCAGGCTAAGGGTGAGTCATGTCAAGGTCATACCCAGACCACATTCACTGTAGCACGAATAATAAAAACAAACCTGGAGCCAGGTATTGGGGTGAACGCTGGAAGATCAGAGAAGCAGAACAAGCCACAGCTACCTCACCTCGCCAATTCCTCAGCTGATCCTGTTTCCTCAGACTGGAAGCTTCTGTGTCCTTATCCAAATGGATCTCAGCTGAACTGCTGCTCAAAAGCCTAAACGCTTAACCAGCTCTAGTTCCTGGTCCTCACACCTTATATACCTTTCTGCTTTCTGCCATCACTTCCTGGGATTAAAGGCTCACTTTCTGGGATTAAAGGCATGAGTAACCATGCCTGGCTGTTTCCAGTGTGGCTTTAAACTCACAGAGATCCAGATGGATCTCTGCCTCTGGAATGCTAGGATTAAAGGTGCGTGTGACACCATTTTCTGGCCTCTATATCCAGTGGCTGTTCTGTTCTATTATTGTGAACACAATATCACCACAATTCACTCTTGGAGAGACTTGAAGGGAGTATGCACTTTGTGATAGGCCTTTTCAGGCCTTTTCAGGAAGTGTACCACCAGAGGATTCATGCTTAGTTCAGGCCACAAGGTTGCATTCAGTGCATGCCCTAAGCATAAATGGCAAGGGTCAGGCCAGTAGCTAAGTTCAGAGCTAAGTGTGTAACCAAGATCAAGCCTCATACTATAACCATAATCAGGCTCAGTGTGTGAGTAGAGTCAACTGCTCAATATGTGGTTAGAGTAACAGCACACAGTGTGACCAGGATCAAGACTCAGTGTGTGGGTAGGGTCAAGGATTAGCTTGCAACCAGAGTCAGGATCACTGTGTGAGCAGAAGCAGAACTCACTGTGTGTCCAAGATTAGGAAGAGTGACCAGGATCAGGGCTCAGTGTGTATCAAGGATCAAGACTCAGAGTGTGACCAGGGTCAAGGTTCAGCATGTGGTCATGATCAGGCTCATGTATGGGCATAGCCAGAACTCAGGGTTTGGCTATGATATTGCCCTGTTTGGGGACTAGAGTCACCAGAATGAGTGTTCAGTGTTGGGCTGAGGTCAGAGTTAAGCCTGTGGTGAGAGGTGGGGCTGTAGGAAAAGCATAGTCACAGTCTTCAATATTTGAGATGAGGTAAGGTTACTAGGCTACCCTTTGACCAGAGTTTTCCCTCTGGACATCACTGGTGTTTGGGGTCCAGAGGTTCTGCAAGGTTTCTGGTACTGTGGGTGTTGAGCAGATCTTGGCTTGTGCCCACTATATCCATCCAGTGCCCCCGGGCTGAGCCAACCAGAACTGCCTCTAGGCATTGATCCTGGGGGAGGAGGCTTGTTCCATTCAAGAACTACCGCCTTTAGAATATTCACTTCATATCAAGCATGATCGACAAACATTTACACACCTGTAAATATTTGGGGAATGACTGTTCCAGCTGGTGCTGGGTGCCGGTGCCTCCAGTGCCGAGACAGATAAGCAAGGTCTCTCCAGGGGCAGCCATCATGGTGGGTGGGAGCAGGCAGACAGCCTTCCATGGACACACAGCCAAGCTGTGGGCACTTACAGCACTCCCTGGACTGGCAGGCTTTGTGGTAGGAGGGGATGTTCTAAGAGGAAATTCTAGGTGGGCAGAGAACAGGAAAGCATCCAGGGGAGGGTACCCTCACTCTGTGTGACCTTGAGCAGGATCTTGCCCCCCTCTCTCTGAGCCACAGGCTCTTTCCTGCCAAAGGAGAGAATTTACAGGGAAAAGAGGCCAGCCCAGGAGTGCTAGAGATTACAGGCAGGGGAGATTACAGATTACTGCAAGTAGAGTCCATGGGCCAATATGTTGTTGTTGCACGGTCTGGGCATGGCTGGGATGTGGCATGTTTCCTCAAGGCTAGAGGGGAATACTTAACACTCTCTCATGCCTTAAAGTCCAGGCTGTTCTCGGGGGACTTTTAGGGTGAAGGGGTAATCAGGGATCTATCAGCAGGGGCAAGAGAACACCAGAGACCACTGTCCCTGGTTGTGGGCAAGTGGATGGCAGCCATGGCCAGCATCTCTACCCACTGGCATCTGGCCAGAACAACAGTGTGCCCAGCAAGGTTACCAAGAGAGCCTGGCTGAAGGATGATGGGTGTAGGTGAGCCTCAGGTTGAGACAAACAACAAAGACTACGAATCACCCCAAAGCCAACAGCTGTAGGAAGCACCGAACCCCTGGATCTAAAGGCAACTGTGGTCAGAGCTGGCTGGGGAAGACTGACCCACGAGATCTGTGGCCTCTGCTCAAGAGAGACAGCCACTGCCACTACAGCCCAGCAGGGAGGCTGCCCAGGGAGAGATGGCCTGACCACTCCCTCCCTGCTTTGTAGGCTGGATGCCCCCCAGACCGCAGAGCAGTGTGCCAGGTGGGTCTGGGGACAGCAGCACATATCAAGTGGTGGCCTGGAAGCTGTGTTTCCCAACTCTCTTGTAGCTAAAGTTCCAAGTTGGGGGATAAACAAGGTCCTGAGGCTAGATCCCTTAGTCCAGGGTCTGGCACACTCCAACACTCTAGGACATGCTCTTATGGCTGTCCAAACTCCTCAGTGGCTCTTCGGTCCCTATCCAAGGAAGGCAACCCCAGAAGAGCCCCTATTCAGTGACACCTTTTAGCAGCCAGTCATTGTGGCCTTCAATCCAGGCCGGTTTTTTCAGGGGGCATGGGCCCCCAGGAAGGCAACACAGCCTTGGTGCCATGCACTTGGGTCCCACAGATGCACCTTTGTCTTGGCCAAAATGACTTGGGGAGTAGAGAACCTCAAGAAAGTAATGTTTCAGAACTGGCCTCACTCCCCTGAGAAGGGCAGGCACAGTGTGGGTGTCTTAGGATTTCCAGCCCTTGTTTTGTGGGTGGCTGAGAAAGGGCTTCTAGCAGAGGCAGTGGCCACACCCTGGATAGGCTGTGCCCTCCAGCACCACAAAGAAGGACACAGGCAGTGGGAGGGGTGGTGTGGGAGATCAGATTGGAATGGGCCGGTCCCTGGGCTTTCACTGGCTCCAGGGAACCTGTCACTGTTGACTGTAGGTAACAGACCCTCCTCCACCAGCTGAAGCCATATAAAAAAAAAAGCCTTTGGAGGCACACTCCCAGCTGCGCATTGCGACCATGAAGGCAATCCTCTTCGTCCTGTTGGCCACCTGCTTGGCCCTGCAGCCCGGTAAGCTTCGGACAGCCATGGGGCAGGGCTAGGGAAGAGTGAAGCAGAAATGTTAAAGGGGCTGATGGACTAAGAGGAGGGAATAGGAGAGAGAAGAGTAAGGAGCCTGAGCAGCTTTGCAGAGAGGACTCTATCGTCCTGTGAGAGGCAGGCTGGGAGGAACAGAAGGGCTCCCGGAAAAGCCACTGAGGGACAGATGTACAGGGCTACTGGGCCTTCTTCGTCAGGGAGGCCCAGGGGCCCAAAGTCTCAAGCTGAGAAGTGGCACAGGGGTAAGGAGGGAGGAATGGAGCAGGAAAGGTATTCAGGATGTCTTGAGAGGGGACTCAAGGGTCTATCTCCTTTTGCCTCCAGTGTGAGAGTCCACTGGGTGGTCGGTCTGTGATGATCGAGTGTGCTGGGCCCTCCCGTCAAGTGACTCCAAAAAGGTCACTGTACTCTCAAAGCCTCAGTTTCCTCATTAGACAGGGGTGGGGGAGGGGCTGCCTGTAAGGCACTGGAGACCTACGCAGCACAAAGGTTGTAGCCACTGAAGTTAGGGGTTCAGCATCTGTTCCTACAGGTGTGACTTGAACCCTGGCTTTGTCATTTTTTTGAAGAGAGAAGACAACCAACACATCCTGGCATCTGGGGCCACTTGCCCCAGACACAGAGCAGGATGGACCCAGGGGTCCTACCATTGCCACACAGCATCGTGGAGGTCTAGGAGGGGCTGAGAGGCAAGCTGGGTTTAGGGAACCAAGACAGATGACCTCAGTGACCAGCAGCATGCAGAAGTTAAGGAAGTGTCTCTTTGCACCTCCCTCCAGCCTAGTGCCCAGCAGGGCTTTTTCCAAGTGTGACCAGTCCCTGGGGCCTCTTACCCCTCTCTCAGGGATCACAGGTGTTTAATAAAGCTTTAAATTCCTGAAATAGTAACAGCGCAGACTGTGGGCTTTGGGTGACCGAGGTGAGGTAGGCTGGCGCAGAGCCCTCTCTGAAGGGTGTCAGAGGTTTTTGGACTTCTGCTTCAGGAGTCTGGAGGGGACCGAGATGTGTCTCTCCACTCTGTGTGGGGATGAGAGTGTCTGGGAAGGCTCTCTTGAAGTGCAGCTGGCCAGCCTCTGAGCCCCAAGCCTCCCGCTTCATCCACAGGTGCCGCCCTGCAGTGCTATTCATGCACCGCGCAAGTGAGCAACAGAGACTGCCTGAATGTGCAGAACTGCAGCCAGGGCCAGAACAGTTGTTGGACATCACGCGTCCGTGAGTCCCCCGCTGCCCCACACAGTTCTCGCGGCCCTTGCTCTGCTGCCCAGCCACTCTGCTATCCTGCCTTTTCAGCATCCCTCCCCTCTCCAGCTAAGCAGCAAAGAATCTCGACTTTGGGCTTTGCCACAGTTCTCCCTCTGTCCATCTGCCCACCTATCCATAGATCTGCACATTCCTGCTCGGCCACCCCAACCCTCAACTCCACCTTCCTACCCTCCCCCTCCTCCCCCTGCTCACTCATTCAGAGCTTTAGCATGCTCAGGAAGGGGCCCTGAGGCAGGGGCAGGGAGGTGAATAGCAAGGCCTGGCTTCAGTCCAAGTGTCACCCTGTCTTCCCAGGGGCCATTGGACTCGTGACAGTTATCAGTAAGGGCTGCAGCTCAAACTGTGAGGATGACTCGGAGAACTACTACGTGGGCAAGAAGAACGTCACGTGCTGCTCCACCGACCTGTGCAACGTCAATGGGGCCCACACCCTGAAGCCAGCCAGCACCCTGGGGCTGCTCACTGTGCTCTGCAGCCTGTTGCTGTGGGGTTCCAGGCATCTATAGGCTCTAGGAGAGTTCTACTACAGCCTCTACTGTGCAGGGATGCCCCGCCCCCCCCCCCCCCCCCCCCCCCCCCCGCCCCTGCAACCACCACAACTCCTAGCATCCACACAAGGGCTGGCCTTCATCCTGCCTCTCCTGGTGGTGCACTCTCCTCTCTGCTGCTTTTATTTCTACAGCTGGCGCTTTGCCCCGCGCCCCTTCTCCCCCCCCCCCCCCCCCGCCCCCATCAGCACTGTGCCCTACCAGTTCTGCACGCTTCTGCTGCAGGACTCCCTCGCCACCCTACTCTCCAGGAGCTGAGCCTGTCCGCACAGCGCACAGCGGCACTTGGGAAGGGTCTGGTGAAGGCTGAGATGAGACAGACTGGGCAGAAATGAGGCTGGGAGGTGGGTGTGAGGTACTGGGAGTCCTAGGAGATGAGACCCGCTGTGGGTGTCAGGGGCGGTGGGGGGGGAGGTGGGCGTGGGTGGACCTGCCACATGTTTGTAGAGCTCCGGAACACAGTAGGCCTGTAATAAATACCTGTTGGGTACGTTGGAGAGAGCGTCTATCCTTAAGCAGCCTGTGATGAGCCTAGCCTCCACCTGGGCAATGCCTATCAAGGGTCATAGACATGCCATTGACTTTAAGGGTTAGAGGCCTGGTCTTGGTAGGACACATATGTGGCACCTGGCAGGAGGTAGGACTGCATATCTCAGGACACCCAGCCCTTGCTGTACAGACTCGGGCACATTGCCAAGCTTCTCAGAACCCTGTGTGCTCCTCTACGACCTTCTCAGTGTAGGAAGCCCTGAGTTTCCATGGATAAGAGGAGCCCCCAGGAAGGAGAGCATTCTGCAGCTTCCTCTACCCCTAGGGAATCGACTACACAAAACTTTATTCTAGCTGGCCATGGTGGCACTCACCTTTAATCCCAGAGCTTGAGGCTCGGAGGGAGGCAACTCTCTGTGCCTCTGAGGCCAGTTTGGTCTACATAGCAGTTCCGGGCCAGCCAGAGCTACATAGCAAGACCCTGTCCCAAAACAAACAAACAAACAAACAACTTCATTGCATACTGCAGGCACACAGGAAATACAAGCACAAGCGTCTCAGGGAAGGCAGCCAGCTGCCCCCACCCCACCCCATGCAGGAGTGTGTCCAGCCCACACTCCCGAGTTCCTTCTCCCGAGTCTGTGTCCATGCCATTAGAAGTTTGGGAGAGGCCATCTACAGGAGGACATGCCCACCCTTCCCATTCCTGGGGAAAGCTTTTGAAGGAAGCCCATCTTACACCTGGGAAGAACCTGGATCCTGGGTGGGGATCTGCATAGGGACCCCATTTCTACAGCTGATGTCCCCCCCCTCCCCGCGTCAATATTGAGATAGCATGTAGTGGGTATTCGTTCCACCTATGACTTTGGGGTACCAGCTCCTAGGGCGTGGCCGCTTGACTAGCTTAAGACCTGAGGAGCATGCTGCCTGGCCCTATCTTTACCATCCAAGAGAGAGAGTGACAAATACTCACTACAGTAGCATGAGGAAGTTAAGGAAGTGTCTCTCTGCACCCCCCTCGAGCCTAGTGCCCTGCAGGGCTTTTTCCATGTGTGACCAGTCCCTGGGGCCTCTTACCCCTCTCTCAGGGATCACAGGCATTTACTAAAGCTTTAAATTCCTGAATAGTGAGTAGCAGCACAGGCTGTGGGCTCTGGGTGCCCATCCAGGGGACATAGAGGATCATAAATTCCTAAATAGTAACAGCACAGGCTGTGGGCTCTGGGTGCCCACACAGGGGACACAGAGGATCGGCGAAGCACCCAGTTGTGTACTGAGCCGGGTGTCAGAACCTGAGCCCCAGAGTTCAGTGGTGGTAGCGGGAGCTTGGGGACCAGTGGGACAGGGGTCGTGCTGAGGGTGAGCCTGGCCAGAAGCTGCAGGGCTGTCTTCAAAGCTGATGCCCTCAGCCTTCGTGTATGACCTCAAGTAGGAGACATCCCTCTCAAGCCTAGGATAAAATGAGCATCCAAGGTTGAGTCCAGGCTCTAGGAGGCCCTGTGTTTTCAGGAGAACCCTGAAGATCCAGCAGGACCTCACATCTACTACGAACATGGTGCAGGACCTGGGGCCCACAGCAGCCACGGGTGGTGGTGGTGGTAGTGGTGGTAACAGCAGCCACGGGGTTGGGGGGTGGAGGTTGGGGGGTGGGGGGTTGCTCAGGGTGGTACCTCTGGCAGCACTGTCTTGGGAACCTTCTGGTTGAGGCGTGCTGTCTTCCCTGGAGATAGCAGAGGACAAGGCACAGTTTGCAGGACCCTGCCCGGCTTCATCTGCTCAGCAGTTACGGGGCATCTGCTTGGTTCCTGAGGGCTGTTCATGGCACACCACATCCAGCAGTTACCTAGGCTTGGCTGGGTTCTCCTTGGCACTCCTGGACACCCCCAAACCACCCCACAGCATGGAGCCTGCAGGACAGCAGACTCAGATAAACACGAGAAACGTGGAAGTATTTGTGCTCTTAATACAGAGCTGGGAGAACACAGGGAAGAGGATGTCAGAGCTGGCTTGTGCAGAAGAGCCCACCAGGGACCACACTTCAGCTGCCCCTTAGCTGAGTCTCTTTGTCCCTGTGGTTGTTTGCCTGCAGGTCAAAGGTGCCCAGGGGCAGAGGGACAATAGGGCCTTCGAACCCTACCCTGGAGACTTCTCTGCAATGAATTATTAGAGTTAGGGTGAGGAAAGAAGGCAGAAGGTGCCCCGAGGAGGGCCCCTGGGTGCCAAGACCAAACCTATGACTTGGCATGGGCCTCTAATTCGCTCATAGTGCCACCAGCGTGCCCCCCCACCCCCGCTCAATTAACAGGGCGGAGCCAGGGGAGGAAGGGGAGGGACCAGAGTTGGGCGGGGCGAGGTCAAGGGCAAGTCATCCTGCTGGGGCCTGCACTGCCGCCCCAAGCCTTGTGTTTCCCCCTGGTGGCCAAAATGGATTGCCAACCTGCCTCGGGAGGTGACGCCGGGCTCCAGGGCAAACACAGGAGCCCTCGAAGAGCCCAGAGTCCCTGAGCGGAGCTTCTGTACCCAGGACTCTTATTCGCTAGTGCTGGCACAGAGAGGTGTATTGAGCAATCCTGTAGACACCCAGGGCTGTTAGGGCGACCAGGCCATCCTCCAGTCAGAGTTCTGTGAGACAGACATGCATGACTTTTACGCGAAACTACAGCGAGGTGTGCTCAGATCCCTTTGAGAGGACCCTGGCAATGTGGTCTAGGGTAGGAGAGAGAAAAATGGAAGCAGAGTGAACAGTGTGTGGCGAGCAGCCAGCAGAGAGGCTCAAAACGAAGCAAGGTGACAGGAGCAGAGGAGGCCCGGGGGGGGGGGGGGGGGGGGTGGTGCTCATTCACGTCTTTCCTTGTCTCAAAGGCCTGGCTACCTGTGGCGGGTCTCTTTCCTGGAGGCAAGAGACAAGGTGGACAGAGTAATTAGCCGAAGGCCCATTCTCTGAGCAATGGACTCAGAGAGTACTCCTTAGTCTCTTCCTCCTCAGAGGCTGCCCCTCCCCCAGCCAGAGTGAAGCCGGAGAAGGTAGGTGTTTCAGGCGGAAGCAATGTGTGGGAAAGGTCCTTCTTCCGGTAGTTTGGAGCCACCCTGATTGGCAGTGAGTTCTTTGCCTCTTGGAGTATCCAAGAAGACCTCAGGCCCCCACTGTGCCACAGCTCCTGGCCTCGGAAGCAAAACCGAAAAAGAAAAGAACTCTGCTCTGGACAGCCCACAGCAGACCCACCCAGCCCAGTATGGGACAGTTGGATCTGGAGCATCATCGGTCCACCTGTCCTTGGGCTCCCTGTCGTCATCTGCACATAGGATTATCAAAGTCCCGGAGGCTCTCCAGGAGAGCCAACGCGACCGCAAAACCTTCCTCTACGCTGAAGGAAAAAGGGACTGACATTCCACCAAAAAAATTACATTCATCGCACTCCTCTCCACGCCCCACTTCTCCTCCACCTTGGATGTTATTTGCATTAAAATTGGTAAAGGGTGGGGATGATTGGGGTGCATTTAGGGTGATCAAGATTTTTTTTTCACTTTCCTTTATTAAGAAATTTTCTACTCACTTCACATACCACCCACAGATCCCCCCCCTCCTCCCACCCCCCAGGCCTCTCTCCCAAGCTACCCCGCATCTCCACATCCCCCAAATCGAGGTCTCCCACGGGGAGTCAGCCAGGCCCAGCACACTGAGCCTAGGCAGGTCCAAGCCCCTTCCCACTGCACCCAGGCTGTGCAAGGCGGGTGATCAGGATTTTTGGCGGACAGGGGGTGAGTATTGGAGGACAAGTGTCTGCAGACTGGGACTGAAATGCAACCGGAAGCCGGGTTCTACTTCTCTCTAACCCGCAGCGAACGCCCCAGGGGCCTTGCGAAAGCAAGATGCCTGGACAGGCTTGTGAGGTCACGGGCAGCCCCGCAGAAGCAGCACCTTTAGCGATGCATTGTCCGTTTTCCTTGCAAAGTTCCTCAGCTGCTCCGGGAAAGTTCTGGCAATCTTTGGCTAGGCTCATCTGAATGACTGGATCACGGAAGCGAGCAGGCTTCGCTGTCGCTCCTGCACCTGCAGCGCCGAGCGCAGCGGCCAGGTGGCGCTGTACTGCTCCGCGCGTCCCGCCGCGCCCCGCCCCGGGAAAAGCGAAAGCGGCTCTGGCGGAGGACGTGGGACACACCACCAAGGGCGCGCGCGGGGGGGGGTATGACCGGGAGCCGTGCGCGCGACTCCAACCGGCGGCGCTGCTGCCTCCGGCGCGCCTCCCCCTTGGACTGCTGGAAGAGGTGGTGCGCTCCGAGCGGTTCCCGGAGTTCCCAGGCTCCCGGGCAGGCCCGCAGCAGGCACCTGAGCACCGGGTTCCTGGGCACCCGGCGCCCGCTGCCAAGATGCTGGGGCTCCTGGTAGCGTCCTTAGCCCTGGCGCTCGCCTTCTTTGCGCTGCTGGACGGCTGGTACCTGGTGCGCGTGCCGTGTGCTGTTCTGCGCGCACGCCTGCTGCAGCCGCGCGTCCGCGACTTGCTGGCCGAGCAGCGGTACGCGGGCCGGGTGCTGCCGTCGGATCTGGACCTGCTGCTGCACATGAACAACGCGCGCTACCTGCGCGAGGCCGATGTGGCTCGCGCCGCGCACCTGACCCGTTGCGGTGTGCTGGGGGCGCTGCGCGACCTGGGCGCGCACACGGTGCTGGCCGCCTCGTGCGCGCGCTATCGCCGCTCGCTGCGCCTGTTTGAGCCGTTCGAGGTGCGCACCCGCTTGCTAGGCTGGGATGACCGCGCCTTCTACCTGGAGGCGCGCTTTGTCAGCCTTCGCGACGGCTTCTTGTGCGCCTTACTGCGCTCCCGGCAGCACGTGCTGGGCACCTCGCCGGATCGCGTAGTGCAGCACTTGTGCAAGCGCAGGGTGAGCAGCCCCACCCCGATGCCCCTGCCCTGTGCCACACCCAGCCCCCTCCCGCGAGGAAAACCTCTTTTAAGTTCTGGGACTGGTCTTGTATTGGAACACTTTGGCACGTTTCCTCTGTGTCCCCGCTATCTATGAATTAAGACTTTACAGTTAGGCTTAGCCATTTTTGAACCTGCCCCTCACCCCAGGGTTTCTGTTCCCTCCCTCTCTTGTAGAACTGAGATGCTCAGAGCACATCTCTCTACTAGGAGTTGAGTCTTAGTTCTGTGAGGTCTAGAGTGCTGAGTCACCCTCTCTGGTCTTCGACAGGTGCCTCTTTTTGAGCATGAGATAGAAGTATGGTCAGTTAGAAGCAGTTGCTGGGAATTCCAGGGGGCCTGAAACCCTCTTTTGCTCAACCTGCAGCTGAGAAGCCTGAGGTTGGATTGACCCCAGGAGACCACAAGCCTCGTGTCTTTCCAAGGTTAGAGGGAGGAGAGCCCTATACCTGCTGGGACCCAAGGCCCTTCCCCAGGGCCCACTCCTCCAAGCGTGGTGGCAGAGCCAGCTCCTTTAGTATGGCAACGGTGACCCTGGAGACAGCCAGGGTAGTGATGGTTGCCAGGGCAGGCTCCTGAAAGGTGCCAGGGCATGCCCCACCCTTTTGTGCCCTCTCTGGCCTTAGTTAGACAGGTGCCTCCTCTAGGGCCTAGGAATGACCTTACATCCATGCTTAGGAGCTATATCTGTAGAGACACACAGACTCAGAGAGATGGTGGCCAATTCGCCCAGTCTGCACAGCGATTGGTAGTAGACATGGCTCCCTGGCTTTTTGCCTTTGTTGAGTCATGAACTCCTAGGGGCTGTTGGTACTGGTTGGTACAGTGCATGTGAGGGGACCGGAGGTACAGTCACAGAAAGCAGTGACAGTGTGGAGGAGGTGGAACCCATGCACCCGGGCAACCCAGCTCAGCTGGAGGCCTGGGGTTGGCTGGGACTTGCCCTGGTTACTGGAACTATGTCTTGGGTTGAATTGGGTCCCAGGGAGAGGCAGATATGGTTCAAGACAGGCTGAGTCTGGGCTTGGGTCCTGTAATCTGAGGGGCTAGCCTGGGGCCATGTGCTAGGAAGGAATAACCCCGACTATGGATTGGTAGCAAGTACCCAGAAAGGACCCAGGCTATGGGCCAGCATTTCCCACCTGCTGTGTGGCACTCATCATGAGAGGTAAGAGCCTCTGCTCAGCCTCTACCCTCACCCTTCAGTCCTCAGAACCCATCTGCCAGGACTCACAGAAAGCAGCCTTGCTTGGCACTCCTGGAGGAGTGCCTTCCCATTCCCTGCCCCTCATCCCGATTTCCCCCAGGCAGCTGGTAGCTGGTCCACCAGCCAACCTCACAGGCTTTTGTCCGGTTCTGGAGACGGGACTCCAGCATGGCTCTGCGGATGAGGCCTAGCCAGTGTAAATGGGATGGAAAGAGCTAGGAAGGAGAAAATAGGTTAAGAGGGAATTGGGGAGGTACTGGGCAGGTGTCATAATGGGGCATGGTGCCCCGCAAGGTCACAGGCTGGAGCATGAGATCAGCAGAGGTCCAGAGGCAGGAGGGCAGCAGCCTGGCTGGTTGTCCCTCTGTGGTGCCGCTCCCTCACCACGACAGCGGGTGGCTCTCTGGAGCCTTAACTTCCTGTTCCCCTGCAGGTGGAGCCCCCTGAGCTACCAGAAGACTTGAAGCACTGGATCGCCTACAATGAGACCAGCAGCCAGCTGCTCCGTGCTGAGAGTGGGCTCAGTGACACCCCAAAGGACCAGTGACTGCCACGTCTGCGCCCTCCCTACCCTGCCTGTCAGCCGGTCCATTCCACAAAGTGGGCCACCTGGGCTGCACTCCTAGCCGGAGTGGCCTCGGATAAGCCTGGCTCCTTTTACCCGCTTGACACTCCTCTGTGCTTACCTCATCTTGGGCAGCTGTTGGGGTGGACGTTGTCCTGGCCCAGCTCTGCCTCCTGGGTCCCCATAGCATGACTGTTCGTGTGCCCAGATGAGCAGGATCCTGCAGCAGCGGAAGGGCCAGCACAGAGCCCAAAGCCAGGGCTGCTTGTGGCCAGGCAGGCCACAGTAGTCCTGGGTGTGGCTGGGACCTGCAGCTTACTCAGGGACAGCGGGCCCTCTGGAGGGTCACCTTAGACCAGGGAAGATCGGGCCAGGACCAGCCCAAAGGGCCCCTTGGAACACAGAAGGGCGAATGGAAGTTGGTCCCTGGCTAAGATTCTGGTGATGCCCACCACTAAGAGGATGCACCCTGTCTAGCCAGGTCACCAAGGCCAGGAGCCCTGGTGTAGGGGGTCCCATGACCATGCTGAGCACCTGCCCTGTCAGCTCAGGGAGGGGGAACAGCTGCTTGAAACTAGGCACTGCCTCCTTGCTACCTCTCTGGGAACCATACCTAGAGCCAGAGCCAAGAGCTTCAGTGATGCCCTGACCCTCACCTGCACCCCCCTTAGCCTCCCATGCTACTGTGCTTGCCTTAGTACTATCAAGGGGAAGCTGCAATCTGTTTTATTTAAAGAAAGCACAAGATTAAAGAGTTTAAAAGGCACGAATGCAGGGGGAGGTTCTCATTTCTGCAGCCCTACCACCCCTGCACAGACCTACCCACTCCCTGGATATGTCTTCTGGAGGAACGTGGGTGGCCTAGGGTGCCCAAGCTTGTGGGTGCCTCTGAACACAGGGCAAAGCCTGAGGAGTCGTGGGACTGAGGCCAAGCGTGAGCAGGCTAGAGCCCCAGCTGGCCTGCCTGCCTACCTTCATCCCCTCCTTGTCTACCCCCAGCCTGAGAACTTTGCAGTTCTAGTCACATGGACCCAGCCCAGCCTTTTCTGTCTCCTTCCGTAGAGTCCCAGGAAGGCCCCAGGAAGTCAGGAGGAAAATAGGGTACAGATAGCACTGGGCTCTTCATGCTCTTTGCGAGCAGGGCCAGTAGGATCCTCGGGACTTAGAGCAGATGTTTTATGGGGGGGGGGGGAGTGGGTTAATTTTAAATACGTACTCGGTGGTGGGGGAGGGGCGGAGAGGTTGTGCAGTCAGCCAGTCGTGTGCAGCTGAGAAGACCTGTCCCACACCTCTGCCTCCCCACCTCCCACCCTGAATCTGTAGTCATGTGGGTGGCTACTCATTGTCTTAATTTCAGGAGCTTTGGAGAGGGCTTTTGCCCTTTCAGGGCTTAGTGGAGTAGAGGGTAGGAGATGGGCAGAGAGTAAAGGGCCAAGGGCAATCTAGAGGTGAGGGTCCTTAGGAGGATGTATGGCTGGATCATAGCAGGCATCTGGAGCGCTGCCAGACGGTCCCACTGGGACTCCAGATAGGAAGCGGTAGGACCAACTATGCCTCTATGTCTCTGCCGTCACGGCTGGAGGGGCCTGGAGGTGGAGTTCCCTGCTTAATGACCTAGATGGTAGTCGTGCATCCGGATGTGTTCATAGGTGGGTAGCTTCAAGGTCACCCATGAGGCAAGGGCTTTTGCAGTCCTCTGTTGTCACTGGGGACCCGGTAGCTGAGCCGAGCTTGTGTCTCAGCGAGCTGGTCCCTCGGGTGCTAAGCCACAGCTCTCCTGCCTCCCCCCATGGACTCAAGACCAGGATTAGGCTTTACTGGTTTCTACCATTCCTACCAACTGCCTTTCTGAAGAGGGCTGAGGCAGTACCCCAGCTTCTCCACTAGGGGGTGACATCTGCCCAGTCTCCACAGCGAACCGATCGCCCTGGCCTCTTGCCTCCAAATCCGAAGCTCCGTGAGGCCCTCTGAAATTAAGCTACAGTGCAGGGGAATTGCCCCACTGGGGGAACTGCATGTATGGAGTTGGCCCTAGAAATGGTGTTAGCTGGTGACTTAAGGGGCCAGGTTGGCAGCACAGAATGTTAGGGGGAAGAGGTGTTTCACACACCCCTTGGGTCCTGAGGGACCCTGTTGTTGTCCCGGTAATTCTCCCCTGCCCTTGCATTCTGTTGGACAGCCTGCTACCTTCTTCACAGTACCCAACCCAGCAGTCCTGGTTGCAGATGAGACTCCAGGACCATCCCCCCGCCGCCCCCCCAGCTGGGAGAGTCCAGGAAGTGCTCAGGGATGCGGCATTAGTGCCTGGGGTCATTCAGGCTCCACAGCGGCCACACACCTCACAGATGGCAGAGCACTGTGGAAGGGACAGCCAGAGGCAACACTGGTTTTGGGGAAGCAGCAGCCACAAGGTAAGGGCTCTTGGGTCCTAAGGAACGTGGGCTCCTGGCTGGGGAGGCAGCCCCTGAGTGTGCACTGTCCTCCACCCTGTGCCCTCAGGAGCAGTCCGGGCCACTGCCCCTGGGAGTGCTCTGGGTCCAGCCTGGCGTTGGGCCTGGAGATAAGTAAACATTGGCTGCAGAATTAACCCCCAGCTGTCTGAAGGAGTGGGCAGGCCATTCTAAGAGTGGGGTGGTGGGGGTGGTGGCGATGACAGATTTGTGGAGATGGACACCCCAAAAAGACTATGGTAGAGAGGCTGCTGATCTTCCGTCTACCTCCCTTTGTGCCCTCCTGTATCGTTCCTGGCAGATTTGGACAGACCACAAATTCCTGGAAGCAAATCCCAACCTCAAGCTTCCTTTCTGGGACAGGATGGTGTCCAGGGTGCAGGGGGAGATTATTAGGGGAGGGTTTCCTGGGCTGAGGAACCTGCCCTGGACTGACTGAGACGGGCTAGTGTGCAGAAAGAGTGACCCAGGAGACCTTTTCCTCCTCTAAGTTTATGTCTCTTCGTCTGAGACATAGAAAAACAACAACAACAAAACCCTTGCATGAGAATGAGTCAGGGAAAGCCTTGCATGAGAATGAGGGTCGGCCTGGAACATGCCAGAACATAGCCTGTCTTCCCTGCAGGCTTATCTTTGGGTTCCCAGTGCCCAGCAAGGACAGAAGCCCCCTCACCCTTGGCTTATTTTATTTTCCACAATTTGGGGGGGGGGGGACAGAGTGAGTGGCCTGAGGCCCAGCGAGCTCTGCTCACAGAGCCGTGCAGGCAGAGATGACTGCAGGAGGCACCAGGCCCTGCCAGGAGAGTAGCTAGAAGAGGACCGAGGCTCCCCGTGTGCCTAGAGGCCGGTCACCAAGCCCGGAAAGCCCGAGTTGCAGAGATCACGGAAGCAGCAGAAGACGGGATGGGCAACCCCGATGCCGTCAGGGTCGGTGGCCACGCAGGAGCTGGAGCAGGAGCGGGTCACCATAGGACTGTGGTTGAAGGGGAACTCTGCAAGACGGGCGGACGTCAGAGCCCGAAGTCACGATAGCGCCTGTCTCGCCCTGCAAGCCCTTCCCGTGTCATTCTGCCTTCTCCGACTCCTCCCGTAGCCCGCATCCCAGATCCGCCCAAACCCCAGCTGTGGCACGTCTATTCATATTAGCAGCAGCCTCTGTGGAGCATGCGCACTCCCAGGTCCTGAGTGGGCGCTCTAGCCCAAGTCACAGTAGCAAACCCTGACAGAGCCAGGGTTTAAGCCAACGGTTAACCTCTACCTATCTCCACTCCCCTTATTCCCCTGCAGTTATCTCAGTGCGGGTGCTTAAGGGGCCGTGCCTCTACATGCACGCACACACGTGCGCACATCATTCCTGCCCCTCTGCCTCCTAGGCTGAGCAGAACAATGGTAGATGAAAAGAAGCATGGGAGAAAGGTAAACCTGACCCCAGGTGGACCCCCCCCCCAACCCTTGACTGCGCCCAGCCTTACCGGCTTCCACTGTCTCCAGTATGGTCTTACAGGCTGTGTCTTCCAGCTTGCACTGAGCAATATTCTTGCATGAGTTGATGGCCGTGGGCTGCTCACAGGTATAGCACCTGAAGGCCTCACCTGTCAAGGGTTGGGGGCGGGCACAGTCTCACCACCTAGCTCCAGGGGCCCGTATTGGAGCCAGGTAGATGTGAGTGAAAGTGGCCTCCTGAGATTCTTCAGGACCCAGATGGCTGGCTGACAGACACCGTGTCCACCATCCAAATCTGTCTTCCCTCCCTGGAGAACAGGCCATGGCCATGACACCTGTCCCAGGTGAGATCTAAGACCCAGGAGGCTCACCAGGGGTCCAGAGGATGCCTTGGTCATAAAGCCTCCCAGCACCTCTCTCTTATTGGGAGATGGAGTGAACTGAGGCTCACAGCAGAGTCCCCCTGCCAGTCTCACTCCCAGCCACTCACCATAGCCCATGCTCCAGGCTGCTAAGAGCAGCAGCCACATGGCCCAGCGAGAGGCCATTCTTCAGTACCCAGAAGCTGGGAGCCCTGGCCGGTCTCATATTTGAGGATTTATACTCAGCCTCCGGCTTCGGCTCCTGGGTGTTGTCAGAACCAGTGTGACTCAGTAGGGCGGCACAGGGCTGGGGATGTGGGTGGTGGATGGGAGCCATCATCATTTACCACCCTGGGGTGGGGCCCCTCTATGGACTTCTTGGGAGCCCCTGTCTGGGAGCCCCGGTCCTACATCTGCTGGCAGACCTCCAGGACTAGACACCCTGCCCTGCTGTTCTGGAACAACTCCAAATGAGGAAGCCTTTTAGAGCTTGGCTCAACTGGCCCTCTGATGAACCTCTTGCCTCAACTGTCTGAGTGAATCCAGTAGGCCACATAGCCCCAGTTCTGAGGACCCCTGAGGCTTAGATGCAAGGCTGCCTTAGAGCTGCCTGATACAGGGAGCCTCACAGGAACTGTACCCCCCCCTGCCTAGGCAGTGCCCAAGACTGATGTACTGTGTCCCCACAAAGTAGAGGCTGAGCCAGTGTGGAGAGCGGGGAGTGGCTGGTGAGGTGTAGGTGCTTGGAGGGTGGAGATAGATATGGGGCATTAGACTGACCACTACCACCAGACCCCTGACCATTAATGAATGGCTTGTAGACCAAGCTTGAGCTTCTTGGGTTTAGTTCTGGCAACAGGACTCCACCTACCCCCTAGCCTCCTGGCCTGACAGTCTCTCCTGACTTCCTATGACTTTTCCTGTGCTGGGCCTTTCACATGATGGGCACACTGGCTGTTTTCCCATGTCATAAGGACCATCTGGGCCTTCATCCTCTACAGCCCAACCAAGTTGAGGGCTCTTTGCTTTTTCTCTGTTCTCCAAGGTTCTAATGTGTGGCTATGTAGGTGGATGTGTGTGGGAAGGGAGGCAGATGAAGGAAGGGAAAAAGGGTGAAAAGACAGGTGGATAGATGGATGGATGGATGTTGGGATGGATGGGTGGAGGATGGGTGATGGATGGACAAGTAGATGGATAGATGCACAATGAATAAATGACTAACTTCATGGATAGATGGATGATGGATGGATGGATGATGGATGGATGGGTGGGTAGATGGATGGATGGGTAGATGGATGGATGGATGGGTGGGTGGGTGGATGGATGGATGGGTGGAGGATGGGTGATGGATGGACAAGTAGATGGATAGATGCACAATGAATGAATGATTAACTTCATGGATGGATGGATGATGGATGGATGGATGATGGATGGATGGAAGGGTAGATGGATGGATGGATGGATGGGTAGATGGATGGATGGACGGGTGGGTGGATGGATGGATGGATGGATGGATGGGTGGAGGATGGGTGATGGATGGACAAGTAGATGGATAGATGCACAATGAATGAATGATTAACTTCATGGATGGATGGATGATGGATGGATGGATGGGTAGATGGATGGATGGATAGATGGATGGATGGATAGATGGATGGATGGATAGATGGATGGATGGGTGGGTGGATGGATGGGTAGGTGGGTGGGTGGATGGATGGATAATACTTGGCTAAAAATAAGTGATGATGGATGGATGGATGGATGGATGGATGGATGGATAGATGGATGGATGGGTGGGTGGATGGATGGATGGATGGATGGGTGGATGGATGGATAATACTTGGCTAAAAATAAGTGATGATAGATAGATGACTGCATAGGTAGGGTGGCAGCCCGCATGTGTGTCTCTGTCAGGGGTTGGTGACTGGGCCACCTGTTACAGACTGTCAGAGCAGAGTTATAGCCTGACCTTTTGATAGGATGGGAACCGAGAAGGAGCTCTGGGCCAGGGATGAGTTTTTCTTTTGGCTTTTCAGGTCTTTCTATGTGTGGCCTTGGGATGGTCCCCAGACCTTGGTTTCCTGTTTATGGGTTGCTAGGGCAGAAGTGACCTGGCTCTGTAGGGTGAGGCCATTGTACAAGGTTGACATGAAAGTAAAGAGAAGGTGTGGCTTACAGAGGGAGGGACTGCAGTTCCTACAAGTTAAATAGTGGGGCCACTCATCCCTGAGGCTCTGTCCACAGACCACACCTAGAGGTTGGGAGAGGAGCCAGGGAATGTCTGCTTCTGAAGCCTGGGAGACTGAGCCTAGATCTGGCCTGCTGGGTGACCCAGGCCTGCTCACCAGGCACCCACTCTGGCCTCCCCTTCTTTCATCTGTAAACTGGGCGGATGAGCATCTACGGTACCATGCTCAGCAAAAGTGGATCTTTATGGTCCCGTAAGGTCCTCTGAACCACAGTGCAGGTGAACTTGGAGCCCAGGGCTGGGGAGAGAGTGTTGATGCACAGTGCAGGCTTTTGTACTGTGGACAGCCCATACTGACATGAGGTTGACCCAAGGTCACCTGAAGGGCCTGCTTGTCCTGGCTTTGGAAAGGAGGGATGACCTTACCGGTCAGTGATGGCAGGGGAGGTGCTGGGTGGAGCGGCAGCCAGGAGAGGGCACACAGCATTCTCGTGGGGGACCCTGCCACTCCTCTAGTCGCCCTGCCCCCCCCAATTGGTAGCATTGTGTCTGGATAGACACTGCTGGGCAGGGCAAAATTTATGCCCTTGTTTGCCAGCTTCTTCGTGCCAGTCCACACCCTCGCCATTGGTCCCAGGTCTAGAACCTGGAGACCGGTTTTGAGCCCAGCACAGGACAGTGTGTGACTTGGAGGGCTAGTTCGCCCTTCGGAGCCGGGGACAGAACTGCTCCACGGACCTGAGTGCCGCAGCTGCTGTGGTGTGGCCGTGGGCCAGCCATTCTTCCTCTCTGAGCCCGTCTAATCTTTAAATTGGAGTGACGACGGTCCCAGCCCTTGGGGTTGCTAGAATGCTGAAACGAGGGAATGTCTGTAAAACCTGCCCAGGCCAAGCAAGACTGCCTGCAGAAACAAACAGGGGCTCTGACAAGATCCCCCCAAATTATCTCTCTTGCACCTGCCCTGACAAGGACCCCTAGGTTCCTCTCCTGGTCTGTCCAGGCACCTGAGGAAACCCTCACCTTTTATGCAAGCTGGAACCATGGCCTCTTCCTGTTCCCTCCCATCCAGCTGGCTACCGTCCAGCCCTAGCCGTCTGTCAGATCACCCTGTCTGTTTCTAGGAGTCTGGCTCCTCCTCCTTGGCCATATCCTCCTACCTTCCACTGAAAGGCACTGGTTAAGATGCAAATCACTCCACTTACTACTCTTCTCAGAAACTTCCCCTGGGTTTCTACTGCCTTCGGGACAGAATGTTCCACCCTTGGTACTTGATGCTCGCCCTTCCTGCCTCGTGCTGGAATATCGGCGTTGCATGTGGAGGAACATTTTTTTCCATTGTTCGGAGTCCCTTCCTACTCCCAACCCAGACCTGGCCATGCTGACTGTTGAGAGCATTTTCTGGAGGAGGGAAGGAGGGATGGACAGGGGGTGACTGGATGGATAATAGAATAGATAGATGATGTGAGAGGATAGATGGATGAGTGGAAGATGAAGAAAATGGTAGGTAGATAGATGGAATTGTGGGTGGGTGGGTAAATGAATGGATGGTTGAAGAGACAGAGGATGGATAGGTAAATGGATGCGGGGATGGTGGACAGGTGATAGGTAAGATGGATGGGATGGGCAAGTAGATGAATAGATTAAAGAATGGGTAGCCACCCCGCACAGTGGTACTTGGAAAGTGGAGGCAGGAGAGTCAAGAGTTCAAGGTCATCTTCAGCTACAAAGTGAGTTTGAAATCATCCTGCTCTGCATGAAACCCTGTCTCAAGAAATGGATGGAGAGATGAAATGATGGATAGTTGAAGGGATGGAGAATGGATGGGTGTATGGATTAGAGGATGATGGATAGGTGATAGGAGAGATGGATGGAAGGATGTGTTGTGATTAAATGTATGGAGAGGTGGATAGACAAGATGATAAATGAATGGATGGAGTAAAGGATGGATAAATAGATGGGATGATGGGCAAGTGTGAAAATATAAGATGGGTGGAAATCAATGAGTACTAGAACAGATGAATGGGAGAATGGATGAATGGATGGATGGGGTGGTAGACAGAGGGATAAAAGGGTGGATGGATGAGTGGTGGGGTTTGTGGGCAGTTGAAGTTAGGGGTTTGTTGTTTCTTCCAAAGAGATCTAGGATAATGCTGTCTATAGCCCAGCCTGGACCTCAGACTGGCCTCTCCCCAAGGTACAAATGGCCTGTCTCGTAGCTTTTGCAGAGCTCAGTTGTCACAGGCCTGGAAACCCCGGGATTGAAGGGCTCATCTCCTTTCAGTCCTGCCCCTGCTCCCTAAAAGAAATCTGTCTCCGAGCGTGTCACTTGGGAACTTAAATCTGGTTCTGTGTTCAGGGCAAGAGCAAGGCTGGGATGCAGAGAGGTGGTCTGTTTACTTCTGATTTCAAGGCCAGAGGTGTGTGTTGGGTGTGTGTGTGCTGGAGCTGCCAGGCCCCAGGAAAGGGTTAGAAGTTACCCTATCAACCAGCCCTGGGTTGGAGTGGGCCACTGAAGGCCCAAATCACTTTTCCCTTCTCTGCCTGGAGCTGAATCTTCTTCCAGCTAAAGTCAGAGGCCATCAGGCCAAACTCTGCCATATCTGCCTCCTGCTGCCTGATAAATTTGCTGGATTGCCACATTGGTCAGGCCCTTGGTCAGGATGGGGACCTGCTGAAGCACCTCACTTCTGACCAGTGAACTAGAGAGGGGACCAGCTGACAGGCTCGGGTTTAGCTAGTCCAAAGACAGGGACAAGTCTCCGGAAGAGAGGCTCACAGCCAATGAGACTGAGGTCAAAGAATTTTCTGGGTTCCGCATAACTGATACCTGGGGGAAAAAACCACAAACTGAAACCCCTCCGGGGCAATACACTGGGTCCTGATCCTGGTCACAGACAAAAATAATGTTAGTTTTAGACAGCTTCCTAATCCCTGGCTATAAACTGGGACTTACTCTCTGGTCATAGCTTGAGCCCTGCTCTCTGGTCATAGACTGAGCCCTGCTCTCTGGTGATAGCCAGCCCAGATCTCTCATCACAGATGAGCCTTGTCCTCAGTCTCTGTGGTGGTCTGTGGAGTGCCTGTACATTTGTAAGGGCTCGTGTTAGACAAGAGAAGTCAGGTGAGAAAGTGTGCTAGGATGATAGGACCATGCCCTCCTGTTGACAAAGTTAGAACTCAGAATCACACACCCAGATGTGGGTACCCAAGCTAGCACAAGAACCGTAGGTTTTCGTTATCCACATTCCAGAAGTCTACCCCCCACCCCCAGTCTCCCTTCAGATAGAGAGCCACAACGCTTGGGATTGGTTTTACCCCAAGACGTGCGGAGGGTCTCACTAGACGGTTGGAGCCCTGACCCCAGGAGCCGGCCCAGAAGTGAAAAGCTCCACAGGAGACAAGGATGGGGACCCCTGGGTCCCAGGGACAGGGAGCCCCCCAGATCTTCAGTATCCTCTTCTCCGCGTATGGGGTGTCCTCAGTGGCACTTGGTCATGGGACCCTAGCCTGGAACCAGAGGTTATGACCAGGAGGAAGGGCCCTGGATCCAGGGTCAAGGATTGGAGTAACAATGGAAGCAAGATAATGCCACTCCATCTCAGCCTAGCTGAAGATGCCACCAGCTGAATGAGAGGCTGATTCCTCCAGAGGCCCAGAGCAGGGAAGGTAAGTGAGGCATGCTAGTGAGGGGCAGCAGAGCCATCTGCATGCCAGGGAGGAGAGAGGTGGGTTCCAGCAGGAGAGGAGGCATCTTGGCGGTGAACTTCTCTAGCCCAGCCTCTGCCCACCTATCAAGCTCCCCACAGGCCCTACGACCTAGAAGGCAGCAATTACCTGGTCTGCGTGGGTGTCCCCGGCTTGGTGACTGACTGTCCCTTGCTTATGATTTTAAACTTTAGGAGACAGGAGAGAATGGAGGGATAGAGATGGAGTCAGAGATGTAGCAAGGAGGCCCCTCTCCCTGCCCACAAGGCAGGTCAGTACCCAGAAAGGAGACTCAAGAGGCTGATGCAAGTGACCGTTGTACTTCTTCAAGGCGTCAGGGAACTGGGCTGTCAGGGATAAGGGGGCAGAGCAAGATGGCCATGGCTTTACAGCAGGAGCCCCAAGAGAAAGATCAGGACCAGGGCAAGGACCAGGCCACCAGGACCGCCCAGGCTGGGGGCCCCATCCACGTTGCATAGATCAGAATTGCAGCAGGACACTGGCCGGGTTAGCCCAATGCCATCCACGTCTGAGGGCTCACACTTGCTGGCGCAGGACTTGGTCACCGTGGAGTCCCCCAAGAAAGGGAACACTGTAGGATGGGAAAAGTGTCAACCAGAAGGGTCATGCCCCAAGCCCAGGGGCCTCCCGCTCTGGGGTCACCCACCCCACTGGCCTACATCCCTCTTTCACCAGGACCGCTGAGTGACTATGACATACAAAGAACGCCGATGGCATCTTGCATTGGTCTGTTGGGTGATTTGCATGTAATCCAGAATGTAAAACCCAAACTGTAAGAGAGCCAGCCCTTCCCAGGGGCTTCTGCAAGTGCCTCCCATCACGAGGGGAGAAGGGGAGGAAGGCCTGATGGCTGGGACAGAAAGTCTTTTAGTGGAAATGGTGTAATGGTGGTACGGGTTGTGTGGAAACCCAGCTGGCCGAGATCACTGGTCTGGAGGGGCTATGACACCGGACGGACCCCAGTTCCGTCCCACCCAGAACCTACTGACCAATCTCCCGGGAATAGAGCGTGGTCTTGCACATGGTTTCATTGATTCGGCAGGTGGTGACGGTGACACAGTTGGACACGCTCACAGGATCCTGACAGGTATAGCACTGCAAGGCCAGGGCTGGGAGAGACAATGAGAGGACAGTGAACAGGCCTTGCTCTTCCAAAACCCCAGCAACCGTCTGCGGGTAATGCCCAGCTCTGTCACGGAGGCTTAGTAGAAGGAGACAAGGACACTAACCAGAGGCTAGCTGCCCACTGACCAAGCTCAGGGATGACACCACAACCATTGAACTAGGGTCTTACAGAATGTGCCTCTGGAACAACGGGCTCAGCCTGGGGCCGGGATGAGGACAGCTGGTTTGGAATGATCATCAACACACACACACACACACACACACACACACACACACACACACACACACACACACACACCACACACACACACCGAGACCACAGCCACAGGCCAGTTTCAAGCAGACATTGTTAAGGCAGGTACTTTTCCACTTCCTCATCACCAACTGTCCTTCTGCTGAAGTGCTGCCTGTCCTGGGGTCAGGCAAGCAGGTCCTTGGAGCACTGGGGTGGGAGCTGCACCTAGGAGCTCACAGGTACCCGCTTGGCACAGGTGTCCTCCCTGAGGGCAGGGGTGCAGGTGTAGAGCCTAGCTGAAAGGCACTGTGCTTCATCTCGGCAGCATCCCAGTCCCAATCCCAGGAGCCGCCCCCCCCCCCCCCCCCCCGATATGCTTGACTGTCTCCAACTGGTCCAAGCAATCCAGAGTCACAGGGAAGTCACCTCCCCTCTCCCCCAGTGACCCGGCAGGGCTTCTGTCTCTGGCAAACTCAAAATCTCTAGAAATGTATGGAACTATCTGGCTTAGGTCCACACCACAGAGAGCCTAACTGGTTGAGTGCCAGTATCATGTAGGCACCGCGTGTTCTCTTGAACCCCGAGTCCAGTGGTCACCCCATCTCTGGATGTTTCTGGGTCGCCTTTCCCCCACTACATCTCCATTGTACCCAGAGTCCTAGGCAATTTGCCCCAGTGTCACAGTTCTCCCCTCTCCCCCAGCTCAAAGGCTTTCCCTAGAAAATATGCTGACCGCTTGTAGCTCCCAGCTGGCACCTAGGACTTTGTTACTGCCTTCTGCCCATCTGGCCGGCCCCAGCTCTGCCCACATCCCCTCTGAAACTCCCCCTCCCCCTCCCCCTCCCTGTGAGGTACTGTCTCTGAGGACAGTCCTGGGAAGCACGAACCTGCCGCCCCCATACTCCCCCATGCTCACCAAGCTCCCCGCAGGTGGCCAATACCAGTGCCAACAGCACCATCCAGGTCCCCTGCATAGTCCCAGTGCTCACTCTGGCCTGCCAAGTGGGGATGCTGGAATGCCTACAGTGGTGTGGTGGTCTGACCGGTTGGCAAAGCAGATTAGAAGGGGAATCAGATTTCTGGAGGGCCTGCCCCGCCTCCTTACCAACACCCCATTCTCCAGGGCACTCCTCAGGCTCCTTCCTGACCATACCCAGCCCCCCTCAGACTGTTCTTTCAGCTCCACCACTCAAAGCTGTCTCCTTGGTCCTGGGGTTGCTTTCCTCCCCCCACAGGGGCCCTTCTACACCACCCCTGCAAACTCCTAGCCAAGGGAATCTTCCAGATTCCTCCCTCTGGGACAGGTCAGGAGTTTCCAGGATGCACAGAATGGGATGGTGGGGCTTGGGGTCTCCTGCCCACTCCCAGCTTTCTTAAAGACCCTTTGCCTTGTGGCCAGCTACTGTCTGCAGAGCAGAGCAATGGCCTGTCAGCTCTGGGCCAGAATCTTTCCAAGGTGATCTTGTGCCCTCCCAGCTCCTCTGAAGTCGTCAGTGGGAAGGTGGGGGTGTGCTGAATTGCCACTGACAACCAGTCCAGAGTTTGCTCAAAGGCCTAAGGGACAAAGACAGACCTTGCTTGCTCCACAGGAAGGTTTCTGAAGGGAGGGTGAGATGGGGAGGGCCCAGGGTTGCTTTGGGGACCACTACCCCATGTTTCCTGGAGGGCCATCCACTCTGGGCTTGTCTGTAGACCTTGATCTCAAATGGCCCATGGATTGGTCTTGGGCAGGACTTCTCTAGGCCCATTTCCATCCCTCCACCTCCCTCCCCTGAAGGTCAAGGGGTTGGAGCAGTGGTTCTCAACCTGTGGCTAGCAAGCCCTATCTCCAAAAAATTTACATTACGATTCATAATAATAGCAAAATTACAGTTATGAAGTAGCAACGGAAGTAATTTTATGGTCGGGCTCACCACAACATGAGGAACTGTATTAAAGGGTCAGAGCATTAGGAAGGTTGAGAACCACTGGGTTGGAGGGAAAGAAGTTTTCTCTCTGTCTCTCTCTATCTCTGTCTCTCTCTCTCTGTCTCTCCTTCTCTCTCCCTCTCCTCTCTCTTCTCTGTCTGTCTGTCTGTCTGTCTGTGTGGTGTCCTTGCCCCAGACAGGAGGCTGTGACAGGGATCCCCATGACCTGGCACCACCCGCTGCCCCCCCGATTCCCCGTAGGCATCTCCCTAGAGTACCCTATTTCGATTGAGAAGTGTGGGGGTGGGGGCGCAGCTGCCAGATTCTTTGCTAGTGGTCAAGACCACACTGTTGCTGGACCTCCCAGGAGGCTTTGTGGGGGCGGGGGCATCCAAACCTCACTCCTGTCCCGGCTCTGCTCCTGCTGCCCCACAGCAAGGGCTGTCCATTCTTGCCTCTCCCCTGCCCATCCAGTTAAAGTGATCTTTGTGAATCTCTACCATGGTCCTTTTAGGGTCCCAGGGTTTTCCTGCCAAGCAGCTCCACTGGGGTCTGGCTTCACCCTGCAGTGGAGATCCACATTTGCCTAGGCACCGGACCAACCACTGTGTTTTCCAGGGCTTTCCTAGCCTAGAATGAGTCAGAGACTCAGCCTACCAACTGTATTTTTCCTCTTGACAGTTCTGGAGGGACAGGGTACTAATTAATTTTAGTGTGGATAAAGCAACAAGGTTCTCAGAAGCTAATTGACTGAGACAAGGTCACCTAGCAAGCCAGGCAGCATCCCAAGCCTGTCTGAGTTTGCAAATCATTCACCACGCGTGGCCATGACCACACGGCAGCGGGCACAGATGGGCTGAAGTTGACTGGATAAGAAAGCCCACTCTACACTCAGTCGAACCCAGTCCCTCCACCACACCCAGCTCAGCTCAGCTCCTTCCTGTCCTCAGGCCCAGGGGCCCCACCTCTGCCTTACCCCCTGGAATATACCTGGCCCCTAAGCGTCACTGCCTCTAGAGTTTCCACTCACTGCACTGGGAGACCCAGGCTGTACCTGGGAAGCTTCCATCATGGGGCAGGGAGGAATGTAACCCAGCCAGGGTCTGGGCTGGCTCTCTCTGGGAGGCCTCTGTTCTGAGAGGCCCACACCCTTCACTTCTCAGTTCCAGGAACCTTTGGATCGGAGCTTAATGCGTGACTAGGATCAAGGCTCCGAGTGTAACCTGATCAAGACTCAGAGTATAAAGGGATCAGGGCTTAGAGCCTGTGGTCAGGGTCAGGGATCAGAATATGATTGGAGTAAAAACTCATAGTATGACCAGGGTCAGGATCAGGGCTCAGTGTGTGGCCATGGTCAGGGCTCAAAGTGTGAACAAGATCAGGTCTCAGAGTGTAACCAGGAATAAGGCCTGGAGATTAGGATCAGGGGTTAGTATATAACCAGGATCAGTTCAGAGTATGGCTAGAGGCAGGCCTTATGTATGTCTGGGCTTCAGGCTCAAAGGGTGACCATGGAGGACCTCCACAACACTGCTACTGTGCTAGGACATTGTGGGTTCTCTTCTGGGGCTACTGACATTGAGAAGTCAGGCTGGAACTGTGATTCAGTCAGATCCCACCTTCCTGCCCCTTTCATACTGCTCTACTGGGACTTTGCAATAGAGACTCTTTCCAGACCTTGTCCAGTCCACCTCCCTCTGGCCGCAGCACTAAGAGAATGCACTGGTGTGAGGGATGGGAAGAAGCCCTTGAGCAGGGACTCTGCACTGATCCCTGCCTCTGCCTCTCGAGGTAATGGAGATCAGCAGCAGAGACTGGGCTCCGGATGTCTGGGAAAGGGAGCACTGGTTACCACTTGAAGCCCAGGAGAAGCTATGGAGGGAGGTCTGTCTAGACAGATGCTCTCTTAAGTTCAAGAAAGCCCTGCCTCTGCCTTCCCTGTCCTCACTGAATGTTGTGGCTCCTTCCTTCATCCTCTCATACCATCTCCGAGAGAACATCCATATACCCCGTAAGTACCTCTGCTTTGTGGACTGGTGCCCTGGCCTCACCAGGAGAGCAGGTCATGCTGGGGCAATTTGTAATCCTGTACCCCACCCACAGCCACTCAGGGTTATGCTGGCCATACTCACCCTCAACCCAGAATGTTCCATTGAGGGAAAAATACCCACATGTCTTCCTCCCTAGCCAGCCATGGGCCCTCCCCCTGCAGCCAGGCTCTGCTGACTCCAGGAAGGCCAAAGGGTTCTAGCTCTTCTGTCCCCCATAAAGGGGAATCCAGGAGAGCAGATGAGTGGCTCTTTTTTGTTGTTGTTATTGTTCTGTTTTGTTTTTAAAGACTGGGTTTCTCTGTGTAGCCCTGGCTGTCCTGGAACTCACTCTGTAGACCAGGCTGGCCTTGATCTTGGAGGTCTGCCTGCCTCTGCCTCCTGAGTGCTGGGATTAAAGGTGTGTGCATCACCACTGCCCAGCCAGATGAGTGGCTCTTAAAATTCCCACACTGAAAAGAAAGTGAGCTCACAAACAGGACCCAGGGTGGCTCTGGGAAGAGGCCACTGTGCCCTGTTCCTCCAGAATCTTTCTAGAAGGATGCTGGTGTGCATGAGCCTCTGTGCTCCAGCTTCTGGACCCATGAGTGTTAGATATTCACAGTTTCATCCTGAAAGGGGGGCAGTAGACATCTTTTCCATACCTACCCTTTCCACCCACCAGCTAAATGTCAGAGGAATGTTTCTAGAAGGGCAATGTCTGGTCTCAGGGAAACTAGAACCACCCCTCCACAGGCTCACTGTCCCTGAAATCAGAAACCACCTTAGTCCTCACTGCTCTAGTGCAATCTTTCCAGGAGGTGTCCAGGAAGGTAAACACCGCAGTACTTGTGGTTTAACTCAAGCCCTTCCCAAAGGACCTATGGAGTCCTCAGAAGAAAGCATTAAAGCGCACCCCATATTCAGACATCTGGTCTCAGGCTCCCAAACTGCACTTCAGCCTACTATCCAGCCCCTCTCCTGAAAGTCTGCCCTGAAGCCTCTGATTTTGCAAATCAGTCACTGCACATGGCCATGGCCACACAGCAGTGGTCACAGATGCACTGAATTTAGTTCACACAGGTGTCTACAGAAGCGGCATCCGGCCAACTTCAGGGATACCTCAGAGTCTGCTAATTTTCCTCCAAGGAGCAGCACCGGAGGCCACCCCTCCCACAGGCCTCACCCACGGCATCTTTCATCGAGTGCTCTTTAGTGCCTGTGTCACAGCCTCGATAATAAGGGTGATGAGGCTCTCTCCTGTCACCCCTACCTCAGCACTCCTCTTTTCCTGGCTTCCCTGTGCATGTCCTCTGAGCATTTCCTGTGGCACTGCCCTGTGGGCACACATGGAGGGTGGCGTGCTTCTTGGCATGTGAGACAAATATTTCCTTCCTGGTCTTCTGCCTTTCAAGTTTGCTAACAGTCCCCTCTCCCAAGTCTCCCTACGGAACCCAGGGTGGCCTGAACCTTCAGTCCCAGGCTCCCAAGTACTAGGAAGCTTCCATGTGTATGATTTTATAGATTCTTTTATCGTAATTTTTGACTCTCCATTTAGATTTTGCATCGTGTTTATCTTTTTGTTTTGTTTTTGTTTGTTTGCTTGTTTTCGTTTTTCGAGACAGGGTTTCTTTCTTTCTTTTTTCATTTTTAACGTTTCATTTTATTTTCAATTATGTGCATGTGTGTGTCCAGAGGAGGGTACTGGATCCCTTGGAGATGGAGTGACAGGTGGGTGTGAGCCACCTCGTGTGGGTGCTGGGAACCAAACCTGGGGCCTCTGCAAAAGCAGCAATCACTACCAACCGCTGAACCATCTCTCTAGCCCACTATCCAGGCTCGTATGGGCACAGACTTGTTTGTGTTTACATGTTGTATAAATGTGTTTACATCCTGTGTGTCCCGTGTGTGTTTTCCTGTCTTCCTTCATTCCCATTGCCTGTATTCACTCCTGTTACATGAGATTTCAGTGTTCCTGCTATTTTCTACATATAACGTATCAGTCCTACTGTGGACAGATGCAACTTCCAGTTCAGATCTATTGTGAATAGTGCTATTTTGGATAGTCTGGCATGTGAGACAGGGTTTCTTTGTGTAGCCCTGGCTGTCCTGGAACTCACTCGGTAGACCAGGCTGGCCTGGAACTCAGGGATCCACCTGCCTCTGCCTCTGAAGTGCTGGGATTAAAGGTGTGTGTCATCACTGCCTGGCTATCTTTTTCTTTTAAATTTTCAGCGGCTTTATTGAGTATACCTGGCAGCTCACACATTTCAAAGTGTACCAATTGCCGAGTATGGTGATACCCACCTGCAAATCCCTGCTGAGAAATGATTGCCATAGGTTCGAGGCCAGCCTGGGATACATAGTGACACGCTGGAGAGAGAGAGAGAGAGTTGGGGGAGATCCCACTACTGAGCTCAATAGTTTTGGCATAGCCACAGGTAGCTGCAAATGCTACTAGTTAGGTTGACACGTTCCCTTATCTCAGAAAGGAAGCCTGCCCCTAGCTGTTGAACCATCCCTCCATTCCTGCAGCATTGTGAAAGATACTCTTGGTGTTCAGCCAAGTTTCCTGGCACGCAGCTCCTTAAACTTCTTGGAAACCCTGTAGCAATAAGAGTGTCTTTTATAAGTTGATGAATGACCAGTGGAGGGAGGCCCCTCGGTAGTTCCAGGATGGGACTGTCACCTAAGAGATACCTGCGCAAATTAGAGGGTGGAGACTTTTATCCCCACCCCAAGTCTCCTTTGGAGACAGGAGAGGGTTTGGAAGTTGTGCTGATCACCCGTGGCCAATGATGTCATCGATCATGCCCATATAATGAAACCTCCATAAAACCCCGAAGGCACAGGACTCTCAGCCTCTGGGTTGCTTAACACGGGAGATTCTGGGCTTCTTGGGAAAATATTGAGAAAATACTCATGCCTGGAGAGGCATGGAGGCTCTGATGTTCCTTAGTGGACCCCGGGAATTCAGGTGACACTTTTACCCATTTTTTTAAAATCAAGGCCATGACCAAAGATGCCAAAAACACCATATGGAAAGACACAGAGAATGAAGGATGTGAGATGGGCTGGCTGGCTGGCTGGCAAAGAGCCTGAAAGTTAATGATCCCAGGATGAGAACTTTCTTGTCAGACCTAGTAAAACTAGACAGAGGCAGGAGGTTGTGACGGGAAGGTTCCTGTCCTGTCTGGGACAATGATTGTCTCAAGAGCCCGCCAGTACTTTGCACACCCAGCACAAGACACGGATTTCGGTAACTGCCGCAATTCGGACAACATGCCTTGGCCATCACAGCAGACTCACCCCTGACCACAGTGGCCAAGCCCTTTCCCATGTTTCCCAAACCAGCAGACGGCTGCCCAAACAGCGTAGGCACACTTCTTCCACTCTCCTTTCTCTCTGCCTTTGTCACTAGGACATGTGTTCCCATCCTAGTGCTCTGTCATCCCCCAAATAAATACTACTCTTGGAGAATCTTTCTGATATTTAGAGTGACCAAAGAAATGTACAAGCATTTTGGTGATCAGAGATGCTAAATGGTGCAGCAGAAGGAAATGTTTTGGAAGTCTCCTTCTGCCCTGTACACCTTTCTCCCTCATCTGTTTCCAGTCTGCCCTAAATCCCTGCCATCTCATGCAGAGTCCTAGAGGACGCAGTATTCTGTCGTGTTTTCAAGGGTCAACTCTAGAGGAGTGTGGGTCAGTTCCTCACCCCTAGATGTTGGTGACTAGGATTTTGTGGCCTGAAGGATGTCATATTGCGTGTGTTCATTCACAGTGATGGGTTTGTGGGTTTCCACCCTGTGGATGCTGTGTGTGAATATAGCTCTGTTCTGAGCAATTGTGGGCCAGTTTCAGTGGACCTGTTTCTACTTCTGTGTGTAAGTCCCGGGGCACCCCTTCTGAGTCATACCATTACCTGGGTTTAATGATCCAATTAATCATTTGTGAGCCTAGAGTCATGTTGGAGGGCCTTTTCTCTTCTAAATGGGTTAGCATTTAAAGAATTTCTTTTCCATCATGCAGGAAGCTGGGCCAGCCTGGGCTACACAGTGAGATCAGTTCTCAAAACAAACAAAAGGTCTTTGTTTTTACTTTGAAGTTTCTGATTCAATTTAAATGTCTTCTGAACTGGTGAGAGAGGTCTGGATCCATCTCTTCTTGACTTTACATCTGGGGACCAGTAAGCTGCCAGCTGTCCTTTCCCTGGCCCTGAGCAACACCATTGCTCATTACAGGCATTTTTTTTTGCATTTTGGTTGATGCTGAGGTCCCAGCTTTCTGTCAGTCACTCTCTGTTTGGACACTACCCTCCTCATGAGTGTCACCTTTTAGAAGTGTTTGTTTTCATGAGAACTTTGCCAAGCTGAGAATAGGCAAGTTGAGGTCAGGGCCTGCCTCCGTGTTTCCTGTTGGGTACCAACTGTGACTTGCCTTGTGCCTCCAAAACTGAGAGCCCGAAACTTATCTCTAGGCCTGGCTGGGAGCCAGTGGGTAAATATTTACCGAGTGGCTTCCACAAATTCTGGGTGTCTAACCCCTGTGTCCATACTAAGATGAGTGGTTATGCCGTCTGGGCGGCTCTATCTAACTGCCTCAGGGCACAGCCTTCCCACTGCAGATTTCTGATGGGTGCCTAGAGGCAGAGTTCCTATCCAGGGCCATACAGGGTTGTGTAGTGGGTGGTTGTGCACCACCCCTAGTGTGGCCCGGATGGAGACCCTTAAAACCTGGGATGCACATACGTGCGCCCCTCTTCTCTCTTGCTACCTCATGGTCTTGGATGCTGGTGCTGCGGATCGAGGCAGAGCTCTCCCGAGAACCGTGTTGGGCAATGCCCCACCCCTCCAGGATTCTGAGACCAACTCCTTTATTCTTGTTGTGAGTTAAACCCCAAATAAACTCCTTTGACTATCAAATAGACTCGGTGGAATTATCCCCTTAGGGTTGGATAGATGGGCAGCCTTCTGGGAGACAAAGGCAAGGCAAACTGGGCAAGGACATGGTAGGAAAGATAGAACAGGACAAGGTGCCAGAAACATAAGGCTGAGACGGTAGCAGAGTTCCCCAGGAACTACTAACAACAGAGGTAGATAGTCCCCAAAGGGCTGTGGTTAGTGAGCACCATCTCCCCTCTGTAGAGGCCTCCTCCTTCACCTGCTCAACTGTGGGTCTGTAGGAGGCTTCTGGAGTCTCATTCAGAGTAAAGGTGCTCATTGGCTCTGAGTCAGAGTTCCTTTCAGCCTTCAAGCCCAGGTTGGGGCGCTCCTCAAGTGTCCCAAACCCCAGATCAAGGGTATTCTCATCCCTAAGATGGAGTGCTCCCTAGCCCTCAGCCCCTTGTCTGGGTGCTCCTTCACCCCCAAGTCCAAAGTTTGGGGCACTCCTCTGCATATCAGCCCCAGGTCAGGGTGATACTCAGCTGCCCCAGACTCAAGTTGGGGGTGCTGCTCAAGTGCCTACAGACTCAGCTCCTCCTCACCGCCTGCTCAAGAGCAGGAGCAGCCATCTGCCGCCCCCTGTGCCTTTCAGGCCCTGTGTCTACCTGGAAATAGGCAGGCACTTGGTAAAAGAGGAAAGATCAGTGGGGGCTGTCGCAGACAGCCTGGGCCACGGAGGCCATGACTGACAAGAGGTGGGGGCGGGGCTACGGAATTGCCTGAATCCCGTGCCCGACACACTACTTCCATTGGACAGCTCATACCATGTGATCCAGCTGCTTTTTATTGGGAGATTCGTTGACACTGAGAGGGGCCCACAGTGAATTAGGGCCTTAAGTTTGTACCCCCATGGATTCACACAGGACTTCACTTAGAACTTCCGGAGGAAGTAAGAGTCTGGGGTAGGGTGCTTTGGGCTGGCCAGGTTGGAATAACCTCCAAGGATCAGGTCTGGGCATGGTTCTGTGGGGCCAGCTGGTAGCGACGGAGTGTCATCAGTCCTTGTTGCAGAGATTGGACTGGCAGCACACGAGGGACACATGAGGGCCTAAGCCCAGTTTGGAGACCTCAGGGCAGCCATTGTAGCACATCTTCGTCACCAGAGGCAGGTCTGTAAAGCTGATGGGAGATCCTGAGGGATAAGAGAGAGACCATGCTTCCTGCATCTCTGAGCGGCCCAAACCTCCGTCACCTCACCCCTAGGCACTGAGAGCCCTTGCCTGGTCTCTGCCCTAGACAGAGGTTGCCAGACATGTTTCTATTCTGTTTTTGATCCGTTGGGCCACCACATGGGCTCTGGGCTCTGCCTGCCCAGTGAGCCAGCTCTCCGTGCAAGAAGGGTGTGTCCAGCCCACCCTTCCCACCACACTCACGGGTGCCAATGATGATACAGTGGGTGGAGCTCCTTGGGCAGTTGGACGGTTTGGAACATCCTCCAAAGCCCTTGCACAGGTGGCACCGCATGCCCTGTGTTACAGCTACAGGCAGACAGAGAGAGGGGCAGCCGGTGAGCAACTTCTGCAGAGGGTGACACCCACTCTTGTACCCAGCACCCTGCTTCCTTTCTCCGCCAGCCCCACGTCTCTGTAGCCCAGCTTCCCAATCCCTCATCTAGGGCACAAAGCCCCTCTAAGACCTTGGAGGAAGGGCTAAGTGAGACCCTGGTGCTCGGCCTACCACTGTGTGAGATACAAGGGATCATGTTGGAACCAGCCCGGCCTGCGTCCTTCTGCTCAGAGCACCAAGGGCTGGATGGAGCAGAGGTGAGACCTCCTGGGGGAGAGGAGTGCAGGTTCAGGCTCCTGAAGACCCGGGTGGGGGAGGGGTGGGGGCCTGAGACTTTAGCCACGCCCTCTTTACCTCCAGGGACCTGAGAAGGATCATTTATACCCCTTGGTATAAATGTTCTGCGGTCTGAGACAATGGGGCCTTTACCCAATTAGTAGGGAGTCCATGGCGAGGCCAGACAGAAGGATGGTGGGAGCCCACTGAGTTCTGTTTGCCATTTTCCTGGCAAATACTACATCACTCGTCTTGCATCCAGCCCAGGGGGTGCCAGTCGGGCAAGTGGCCTACCATGCTCTCTCTTGCTTTCCCTGGATCCCCTCATCTGTCTCCCTGCCTCTTCCCTGCCTCCCTGCATCTCTTTATTGCTTCCTTAGGCTCCCTTCCCTGGATTATAAAATCCCTAACCCCATGGCCTGCCCTTTCCAGTACCAATCACGCTGCTGCACAATGGCTCTGTGCAAGTCCAGAGCCGACACCGAGTGGGGAAGCTCCTAGGCCCTGTCCCATCCTGCCTGGGCCACTGAGTAGTGCTGGAGAGGAGAGCTCCCCCCTGGGGCTCCTTCTACAGCCACACCTCTACCAGACCTCACATGTAAGTATGCTGGTCAGTTCTGGGCAGCCTCAAAGGCCAGTCCTTCATCCTATGAACTATGGAGCAGGTGACAGACAGGAAGTCCATACCCCAGCAAGGTCCCCACCACTTGCCTTGATTGCTTACCATCCCTGAAGAGAAAGCCGAGACTCTGCCAGAGACACAAACAGGTAGCAAAAGCGCCCAAGCCTGTAGCTGTCCCATGGATGTTAAAGACAGACTGCACGTGGGTTTTCTGGACAGAGAAGGGCTTAGACAGCCGCTGACGGAGGGGCAGGTGGATGGGGCACCAAGGGATCAGGCAAGGTGCTGGGAGAATAGGACCGGTACCACCTCCCATTCCTCTTCCTCTCCATGCCTCCTAGCTTTGCCCAGACTCATCTTTCCATCATCGATATTGCACAAGCTAGCCCCAGCTCATAGGCTGTCTCCTCCCAAGGAGCTTCTCAGTCAGCTCTGGGGCAGAGGTCTTCCTTTGATGCATGGGCTGGCCTTGTTAGTTATATATATATATATTTTTAATTTTTTTAAGACTTATTTATTTATTACGTATAGTGTTCTGTCTGCATGTGTCCCTGCAGGCCAGAAGAGGGAGCCAGATCTCATTACAGATGGTTGTAAGCCACCATATGGGTGCTGGGAATTGAACTCAGGACCTCTGGAAGAACAGCTAGTGCTCTTAACCTCTGAGCCATCTCTCCAGCCCCTATATTTTGGTTTTTTGAGACAGGGTTTCTCTGTGTAGTTTTGGTGCCTGTCCTAGATCTCACTCTGTAGACCAGGCTGGCCTCGAACTCACAGAGACCTGCCTGGTTCTGCCTCCCTAGTGTTGGGATTAAAGGCGTGTGCCACTACCGCCCAGCGGCCTTGTTATTTTCACGATTAAGACTTGCCTCCACACTCCTATTCTCCAGAGTTCTGGAGAGGAATGGGGATCCTTCCCCATTCACCAGCGCCCCCCAAGCATCCATCACACTGCACTCCACGGATGGGTCACAGGAGATGTTTAGAAAACAAATGAATGACTGAGCTCTAGGAGTTGGAGCAAGAGCTGGGTCATTCACAGAAAGAATAATCGTCCCTCTTGGGTGTTTTTGTATTTTCATCAAGGAGGCTAGGAAGGTCTAGCTCTCAAAAAGAAACTGTCTCTGGGTGCAGCGATAGGGTCATGGAGACAAACCCCAGGTCAGGACTTGCTTAGAGAGAAAGGGAGGGCTTTGGAGAAGAGGGTGAGAGAGACAATGGGCTGAGCCTTGGGACAGTGGAGTCCACCAGGTCCAGTTCCACTGCAATGTTGCCAGGTACAGTTGACTCCCTCTGATCCTGTTTGCTCACTCTGAGCAAAACTCTGCTTTGAGCCCTGGGGAGATGGCATTACCCATGGGTGACAGAGCACGCACCCAGAAAAGATGTAGGACATGGGATATGCTGAGAGAGGCACATGGAGCCTGGCTCCCTCCAACTTCTAACTGTCCAGGCTTGAGGTTTTTGTCTTGAAGGGCAGGTGTGATTTCCATGGAGGAAGAGACTGGGAAGTCCCAGTGCAGAGTGTGGTCTCAGCCTCACAGACACTCCCGAGATACTAGGGTCTCGGTTAAAACAGAGAGGATGACTGGCCCATGACTGAACACTCCCTCTGAAACCTCAGCCCCGACAGCGACAGTTCTCTCAACTTTGAGCTCAGGACCACCAAAGTGGATCCGGTCTGTCCTAAAGGTTTTGGGGACAATAGTTCAGGCTTTCTCAGGTCATAGAATCCCCATGAGGCCCAAGACACGAAGGGTGAACTCTAGCCAGAGATGTATGCATGGACCTCCCACCTCCCTTCAGGAGGACTCCAAGTTCTAGAGCATTCCCACCCATGGATGGAAACTGAGGTTTCACTAGGTGAGGCCTCTGGGAGCTGGGGCTGGCTGAGTTTGGAGCACGGGTTGCTGATGGACAACAGGGGCAATTGTTTCTTTGCACAGGCATTGGTTGGGGTTGGATATTGGAACAACTCGGGCCCCACTAAGTGATGCCGAGGCCAGGCATAGGCAGTGATATTTGAGGTTGTCCCTGGGAGGCCATCCGCAGGCGCTGGGGTCAAAGCTCCTGTTACTAAAGCCAAGGAAGCTAGGGTATAGAAATCGGAGGGGACTGAAGTCAAGTGGATGAAGTCGCCCAAGGAAGGCGGAACAGATAGAATCTAAGCAAGGAGGTAGGAGGGCATCGGGAGAGAACGGCTGCAGACTAGCCGGGGCTCTAGGGCTGGAGGAGGGTAAAGCAGCAGAGGTGTACCCTGCTTTGTGTGTGTGCAAGGGTGTTGCTATGGAACTGGAGAGGCCTCGGGGTGGATTTCAAACTGAGAAGTAAGCTGAGGAAGGTGCTGAATGTTGTGGGATCCAGAGAAGAGGGTTTAGGAATCTATGAAGGTCAATGGCAGAGCACAGAAGCTGGTGGGTAGAGAGGGTCTTGGTGCCCAGGACGAGAAGAGGGGACAAGAAAGGGGTACCCCCAAGGGTGAGTGGTGGCCCAGGCTGGAAGGACAGTGACAAGTAAGGGCAGTAGAAAAAGTGGCCACCCTCCCCGCCCCCAACTCACCTAGCTCCATGCTCAAGACCACGGCCAGAAGGAACCAGAAGAGAAGCCTCATGTTCTCCGTGTTAAGGATGAGGCTGACTCCCTGGCCACCCCCTTATACCTGCTTGTGGCTCCCACTCCACCCTTGGCTCCCATTGCTGCTGGCTCCCAGCCCTGAGTCACTTGCAACCTGGCTCAGATGGGTGCTGGCAGGGCTTGCTGTGCGTGGCCTCGGGGAGCCTGGTACAATTTCACAAGCCTTCTTCCCTCCTCCATGGAGTAGGGATGTCCCAATCATCAGGCCCAAGGCTCTCAAGAAAGACCTTGCTCCGGCTGGAAGCTCAGTCCAGGTCCATCTCACCCTGCAGCTGCATGGAGGGCACGGCAGAAGCAAACCAGCTCTCCCCTCCCCTCCCCTTGCAAGTGTGGATGGAGCGGAGTCCAGATGAAACTACAATGTCTTCCTCAGCAGCTCACTCTGCATGGAGCACGGTGGCCAAGATTTTGAGAGGTCGGAGCTTTCTCATCTGCCAAATCAGGCTTCAGTCCTGTCCTGGCCCTCCCGAGTCTAAGAAAGTCAGGAGAAGCATGGCTATTCACATAGTCCTGGGGACAAGGGGTGAGTGTTACCTATCAAGGGACTGTACTGACATGGTACTAAGGAAACTAAGTCCTGTGGTACATGCCCAGTGGCAGCAGGACGGGTAAGCAAAGCCTTTGGTGCTAAAAAAGGTTCTAGGTTGGGGTAAGAGACCAAAGTGACATATAGTAGGGCGGGGATCATCTGCCAATAGACTGGCTGTACAGGCACTCAGGCCAGGCAGGAGGCCCCACGTGTCTACTCTGGCTGTCCAGGTGGCTTTGACTTACCTCCATGCTTTATGGGGCCTCCAAACATGGGTGTTGGGCAGGGCAAATGGCCAGAGATCCTGAGAGAGGGGCTGAGAATTCTTCCTGAGGACTAAGTAGCAAGAAAGTGGGACCAGAAATTAAAAAGCCAGAAGAAGGCAGAAGTAACCAGGTGTGTGTTTGTTGGGGGAGGAGGGGCCCTGTCTTTTCCCACCCAGTTCCTCAGCCTACCCTTGGGCTTGTTAGCTGATCGATGGGAACTGGTGGGTCTGCCTTTTTCCAGAGAATGGGGGTGACTTTCATCAAGCCCCTGGAATCCTGTTAATACTTCTCTTGCCTTGGCTGGCTCTGACATCAGGACAGGAGCCAGGGACCTTCAGGGTCAGGAGGACCTACCAAGCCAATCTGGGTGGGTGAGGTCTGAACTCAGGGAGAAGGCGGGTAGGAGATCAAGATAGACACATGTCCTTCATTTGTTTATTCATTCAGTGGGGGGACATTGACATTGACCACTCTGAAGTACAGGTACATGGGGTTGGCTAGGGGGGAGGGATCCTGTGGCATAAAAGTGGATTCCATGTCCTTGCTGGGTGAGAGCTTAGGGTTGGCAGAGATACAACCCAGGGAAGTGCCAGGCAGCATGTATCCACGCATCCTTTGGGGCCTCCTCTGTGCAGGCCCCGGGCTTGACACTGGCCTCCAAGAGCCAGCTGAGTGGGTCCTGTCACTGTCTTTTCGCCAGTAAGATGGCTGGAGTGTGAGCCTGTGCCCGAGGAACCCAGGGCAAGCCATGCTGCAGGATGCCATGGTACTTGCTAGAAAGTAACCAAGCACCGAAACAAGGGGCCGCCCTACTCCTGGAAATCATTCTAGAGTTTCAGAATGTGAACTCCCATGCTCACAGCACAAGATGAAGACGGAGGTGGTCTGCCCCACCCCCTTCCCCTTATCCGTTTTGGGGAAGCCAACCACAGACATGGCGGGCGGCAGAGCGTGACTGCTGGCAGCTTCTCTCTGATGGGCTAGAGCAGACACCTCTGTGGCATGCCTTAGCTTCATGTGTTGACCTGGCTTCATCAAACCCCACATGCACTCATACACTCTGTGGTATCACGGTTCCATCCAGCAGCCTCTCTCCAGTGACTTCCCAGCTGCTTCCAGAATGCAACTCTGTAGATAACCACCGCCAGCCGCCCCGGACACCATCCATGTTGAAGGGCTGCTGTCTACCCTAGTGTGAGAACACCCACTGCCTTGAGCCCTAGTGCCTGACAGAGGCAAGGTCAGCCTGTGACGGCTGATGGTACTTGGTTGCTTTGTCTCACTCCATCCTGCGTTCCTTCTCTACGTATCCTCACACAGGGCTGGGCACCCCTGGCCTACTCTCTAGCCCCCCCCCCCCCACCTCCAGTTCTGATGTCCCCTTCTAAGGCCTCCGTTCCATAAGCTTTCACAACTTTGCATTCTGAGATTCTCTGGTTTATGAAGCCATGGTCATCCCGAGGGTCTGCAGCCTCAAAGACCTCCCCAGCTGTTGGAAGAACACCCATAGTAGAATGATTTGGTACTAAGCAGATGAGGTGGCCGGGTGACCCGGGAAAACTAAGTGCTTCACTCCTCTCTGCCTCAGTTTCTTTACCTGTCAAAGGGGTGCAAAAATGACCCCCCCACACACACACACACGCATGCACGTGCACACTTTGCAGAACTGTTGTGGAGGGTGCAGAGTCACCTGCAGACAGGCTTTAGGACAAGCCATCTGGCACTGTGCCCCTAACGTGCACCTCCCACTGGCAGGCTTGGCCCTGTGTTAATTGAGCACCTTCTGGGGCTCTGTGCTAAGCACCAAGGACAGGCTAGGGAGGGGTGGCAGTGTGGACACTCTGGGGCCTGTCGGGATGGTGTCATGAGACATGGGAAACTGCCCCTAACACCGCAACGCTCTCAACCACAGGTCTCTCAATCAAGGGCCTCTTCCACATCGCCCCCTTGTGGTGGGAGGGAGGACCTAGTCTCGGGCCTCCTCCCAGTTCTGGCCCAGTTCTGGCCCAGGATGCCACCTGACTGGGGACAATGGACTTGCACAAGCAGGGTAATGTTTCCCAGGCCTCACCCACTGAGTCAGGGACCTGCCTCTGACCCTCCTTACCAGAACCCTGTGGCTTCCATAGGTCAGTTCCAATGCTGCTTGCTGTGTGTGTGTGTGTGTGTGTGTGTGTGTGTGTGTGTGTGTGTGTGTTGTATGTAAGCATGGGTAGGGGCAGCTCTGGCTTCCTCCCAGCAGCCTGCCTGGACCTCAGGGGACACCATAACCAGTGCTGCCTTCTGGCCTCTGTCGTCACTGTGTGTACATATGCACGTGTGCTCCCCACCCCCCTACTCGTGACCTCCCATGAGACTCATATTCTTTCTGGGTAGTCAATGTCTCCTCATCTCTGGGCCATTTCCCACCCAATTCATCTTTGTAATAGAGCCGCACAGTTCCTATTCCTGAGGATCTGGGCAAGCCCACCAACAGGATTCTATCTCCCCATGGAGTAGCCTGTCCCCAGAGGAGGAAACAGAGGCAGAAAACGACATCAGTCTCAGCAGCAGAGATCAGGTCTGCCTAAGAACAGAGAGGAAGGTCCCCAGGATGGGCCTCTGTCTTCTGAGCTCCTACAGCTGGTTGGTCTGAGAAAAGCATTCAGGATGTGTGACCAGTAGGATGTGGTGACCAATAAGACTCTCCTATAGCCAGCCATGGGTAATCCCACTACATGGACGCTGGCCAACATCCTGACCCCTGGGCTGGGCCAGCTTCAGGGGGTTTCCTCAGTGGCACATGAGTTGGGGAACAGTGGCACATGAGTCAGAGAGGAGGGTAAGGCTCCCTGGGTCAACTACACTGGCATGAAAGGCAGATCGGTGTCTCCTAAATTGGGGCTGGGTTCTTTGGAGTCTTGATACCCAGAAGACTTCAGTCACAATCAACTTCACAGGCAGTCACCCGGGACTTGGGCTGGCTCCCTGTGAATTTGTCTCCCCATAATTTACCAAGCGACAAGAGGATACAGAAGCTGCCTACAGGACCTGGGAAGCCTGCTGAAGTCTGCCTTGCCGTCCCAGTCACCCCAACTAGCCTGCTCTGACCTGCCTCTGTTCCCTTTCGGCCATGCCCAGAATAGCTCTGGCCAGCGTACAGGCCAGACAAAATATAGCATGGGCCACCTGCCCCCATGTCCCTGCCAGCCTCAAGACCCAGCAGCCAGTGTGAGGGTGAGGGGGTGTAGTGGAGGTCAAGGGGCCTGCTAAGCTGCTGGGGCTGGAGAGATCTTAGTGGCCCATGGAAATAAAGCCATTGCTAGCTACCCTTGGCCAAGAGCTGTCCTGACACCAGGTCTGGCAGAGTTCCTGAGCTAGCTGGAAATGACAAAAGGCTTTCTCACATGGCCTCCGTCTCATACTTGCCCTGGGCAGCTGCTAGACTCAGTAGGAGACAGCTCTGCTGAGTCTTTCTTTGTTCATGATCTTTCATGATCTTTCATCCCCCTCTAGCAGACCTATCTATCCTCTGCTGGGTAGACTGAGGCAGGGTCCTGATGCCATGAAGGTGGAATTTGGCCACTAATTCCTTCAAATCAGTGTTCCTTAACTGACTGAATGATGCCCCTCGCCCCGCAAACAGCACTCTCCCGGATGCCCCTGATCCTGGGTAAAGAGATTTAGATCCGTGTATCAGCCTTCTGAAAACAAAAGGTTATGGCCTTGGAGTGAGGTATCTGGGTGTCATCAGTCTGTTGTAGGTAGCCATGGGCCCTCATTGTGGCTGAGGAGTCTCAGAGGGAAGAGGGTTGGGTGGAGCAAGAGGGTGAGAGGATGCAACTGTGTCTTTTAAGAGCTTTGCGTTTGAGTGGGTCTGCCTAGGGGAACAGAGCTTTACAGCAAGCTCCAGAAGGTGGCCAGGAGTACCGGGACCAGGGCCAAGGTCACTGGGGTAGCAAAGCCAGCCCCATTGCAGAGATAATACTGGCAACAGGAGGTGGCAGATGCATGCTTGGAGTATCCATCATACACAGTCTCAAAGCAGCTGGGTACACACGACTTCCTCACTTTCATCCGGTATGGGGTGAAGTCTACAGGGGACAGGACACAAGAAGGCTACAGTGAGAGAGGGTCAGGACCTTGGACGGCTCAATCACAGCTTGTAGGCCCACCAGGACAGGTGGGGGCCTCTCTCCCTGTGCAACTCCTATCCCAATGCTCCAGGACACCAAACTCACAAGTACGTGTGGTCATGCAGTAGGTGGCCATGGCTGGGCATCGCATGGGTTTGAAGCAGTTTTCTCCATTGTAGGCACACACGTGGCACTCCAGAGCCTGGGCTGTGGGCCATGATGGGTGTCAGAGAACAGGAAGAAATCCTTTTCCTACCAGTCAGACCCCAGCTGTCTCCAGCCAACCTCCCACTCCTACTAGGCACCACCAGGTCAGGACAGTTAGAGGACAGGAGAACTCTGGCCAGCTTGTTGACTTTCTACCTGCCTGTCCCACAAGGTCCCTCTAGCTTCTGTCCACCTTACCCACAGGCAGGCCCACCAGAACCACCAGGAACACCGGGAGCAGGGGTGTCATGATGGAGATGTGAGGATAGTGTGGAAGTGAACAGGTGGACAGCGGCTGGTCCGGGATCCAAAGGGCAGGCTCTTTCTCTGTTTGAGCTCTTGCTCTCCTAAGGATAAAGTAATCCTGCACAGACAACGACAAAGACTTGTGATCACAGCTGGGCACGGGCCAGGCGCAAGCGCCTCCCAGCTCAGTGGGTGTTGCTGATTTTCATTTACCTGGAGATGGGAGGAGGGAGCAGGATATGCGGCATTCCAACAGAAGACCAAAAGCAAGCAAAGGTGAGGGTGGAGGGAGCTAAAGAAGGGGAGGAACGGGCAGCATCAAAGAAAATGGGGAGGCCCTGGGGTCCTTGAATGCCAAAAAAAAAAAAAAAAAGAGGATTTCATCCAGCGGATCTTTTTTTTTTTTTTTTTTTTTTTTTTTTTGAGGGGGTTATGGAAACTTGGCACGCAGTTTCTTCCTGGCAGAGCCCAGAGTGCAGGAGGCTCTCCAGAAGACTGGAACCCAGGCTTGGTCTCTTCTTGGGGCAGAGGTCCCTCTCGCATTTGCTTCCCCCGCGTGGACTCTTCTCCCTCCCCCCAGGAAAGTGTAGACTCCTCCGCTGTGTGAGTCCTTTGCCACAGCGGAAGGGGCCATGATGAGTACCCAGCTCCTACCTAAAGACTCTTCGGATGCACGCCAGACGATGCTTGCCCAAGACCGAGTTCCACAGGCTGGGTCTGATGATTGGGACTGTTGGGGGGATGTGGACCAATATTCTCCTCCCTGCCTACAGATGCGATCCGGCCCCTGCTGAGGGTACCAAAATACACTCCCCGGAAGACAACCCATCCTTCATGACCCATTTCCCTGGTGCCAGCTCAGGATTCTGAGGTCCTGAATCAGGCCAAGCCTGAGGCTCCGGCCCCTCCTGAGCCCTCTCGGGGAGCTCCGCCCGAAAGACTGCAGTCTTGCTTCGGGAGGGCTCCCAGCGCAGGCTGGGTGCGGGGTGACCTCGCCCTTGCCCTTCACCACCACCATCCCTGTCGCCATGGGAACTCACCCGTGGCCGCTCCCAGGTCCCTCCCGCGGTCTGACCGTGAGTCTGTGCACACTTGGTGTTGCGTTTGCACGGCATCTCAGGCCGGGTAGGCTCCGCAGCCGCAACCGACCCGCAGTGCCAGCGCACTACTGGCCCCGCCCCACCCCGCCTCCAGGCCACACGCTCCGCCCCCGAGGCCGCCCAAACCCTGCCCACAAGCTAACTTCTGTAGTCTCAGTCGTGAGCCCTCTGGTGAGCAAAGCCTGGGCATCCCATGGGCATCCGAATGCGCCCACTCATGCGCAGATTCACAGTGACACAGTAGCGATCCCGAGGTGAGCGTATACTTCCTGGACATTCTCCTCACGTTTCATCGAAGCTCTTCTCACTCCTGCCGCCCTGCTCCCACAGACCAAACTGATGGGTAGGCATGCTGACTCCGGGAAGAGGTACCACCTGGACAGGGACATCACTGCACCTCTGTCCTTACATGGGATCCACTAGGAAGACTTTCGAGCCAGTCTTAAAGGCATCCCATGGCTCACAGGCTGCTCTCACCATCAAAAGTTCACCACTAAGTAATTACTTTATGTCTCTAAAATTCGCCTTATTTTTTATTCTGTTTCAAGCAGCCAAAATTTAATGTTTTCACAAACTCTCCCCCACCCCGTTTTGTGAGGAAGAAGATAAAGAAAACGTGCAGAGACAGTGGAGAGTGCAGAGGCCAGTCTTCCAGAAGATTCTCATGCACGCACATACAAGGGGCCTTACAACTGAGACAAACACAAGTCTTGGAGGCGAATGCCCTTAATCCCAGCACTCTGGAGGCAGAGGCAGGAGGAGCTCTTTGAGTTCCAGGGCAGCTGGGGCTGTTACACAGAGAAACTCGGTCTCCAAAAATCAGAATATAAAACAACACAAAAAAAGAAAAACAAACAAACAAAAAACGGAGACAAATAACCAATACACTCTGGTCCCCAGGAAAACACACCTGTTTCCCCAGACCTTCATCAATAAAGACCATGCAGAGGTGTGAGTGAGAATGGCCCCACAGACTCATCTGTTTTAGTATTTGGCCTCCAGTTGGTGGAAATGTTTGGGGAGGGCTAGAAGGTGTGCTCTTATTGGAGGTGTGCCTCTGGGGGCAGAGTTTGAGGTGTCCAAAGACTCACGTCATTCTCAGTTAGCTCTCTGCCTTCTGCTCGGGGATCAAGGCTGAGTTCTCAGCTGTCCCTGCTGCTACGCCTTTGCTCCATCATTCGTGGGCTCTGACCCTCTGAAACTTTAAGCCAAATTAAATACTGTCTTTTACAAGTTGCCTTGGCCGTGGTGTTTCATTGCAGCAATAAAAAGTAGCTAAGACAGACCATGTTCAAATGAATCCCAGGACATACATGTGCAAGGATGGAAACCAAACAGCACTTTTCTTGGACAGGCAATGGACTTGGAAATCCGCAGCATGATGGGGCTAGCCAGATTCAGTGAGCAACGGCCCTTGCTGTACAAGTCTGACACCCGGGTTTGATTCCTGGAGCCCACAGTGGAAGGAGAGCACCAACTCCTGAAAGTTGTCCTCTGATACTTCTGCTGCAGTATGGGTGTGCCTGCACTACCCCCAATAAAATAATAATAATAATAATAACAACAACAACAACAACAACAACAAAGGTTTAAAAGTAATCAGCAAAATATTTACAAATGCACAGAGTCTGGGTAACAGCACATTTTAAATAACCTATGGGCAAAGGTGGCATCCATCAGGGAGTCAGAAACATTCCTGGCAGATGATAAAGACACAGTGCATCAAAGCCACTGATGTAGGACGCAGTGACAGCCGGTTCAGGAGGGAGATTCCACAGAAATGCTGCCTTAGGAGAAAGATGAGGTCCCTGATAAGGACCTGAATTTCCACCTTCAGAAACTAGAACAAAAAGGGGCAAATCAGACCCCGAGGAGGCAAAATACAGTAAAACATGAGCAGAGCTGGAGAGAGAGCTCAGTGGGAAAAGGGCTCACTGTGCAAGTGTGAGGTCCTCAGTTCGGATCCCCAGCATCATGGAAAAGCCGGGCTAAACACTGTGGCTACCAACCTCTGTCGACACACTATTAGAACAGAAGGCGCTGTCTGGAGAAATGCTACTCTGAAGTAATGTTTGGAGACACACGAACTCCTGTATTTGATGAAACAAAACAGGTTCTGTTGCTCAGAAAATAAGTACGTTAAAAGCTGGGCTGGGTGGTATCTGCCTGAAATCACAGTGCTGGGGAGGTGAAGGCTGGAGGGTCACCGAGATTCTCTGGCCAGCCAATCTAGCCAAATCGGTGAGCTCCACTTTTCAGTGAGAGACGTTGTGTCAAAAAAAAAAAAAAAAAAAAAAAAAAAAAAAAAAAAAAAAAAAAAAAAAAAAAAAAGAAGGAAAGAAGGAAGAAAAAATGGTAGAGAGTAATAGGGGAAAACACTCAGCATCAGCCTCTCTGCTTTACACATGCACGCACGCACACACACACACACACACACACACACACACACACACACACACACACACACATATATACATAATAAAAGCAAAAAAGGGAAGAAATCGCCGAAATACAAAAATCAAAACAGTAAGAGAATTGATTAATTCAAAGGCCAGTTCTAGGAGAATGCCCAGGAGGGGTAGCATCCCAGCCCCTTTTTATCCATGGCCCAACCAGAGAGAGGGCTTATCAGAAGCCAGACCCGAGTGACTGACTATCAGAACAGGCAATAGGCGGCCCTGTGTCCTCTGTAAGAAACAGGCAAATAGGCTGAGCTGCCAGCGAGGCTATAGGCCACACTCTTTAGGATGGCGAGGACAATGGATGTTCTGGGTAGGCTGGCCCTCTCAGAAGACACGAGCAGCTGTTTTTTGAAGTCTCCTAACCACCATTTGGAAGTTGTGCTTGGTTGTGTGGTGTCTTAGTGAGGGTTCCTATTGCTGTGAAGAGACACCATGACCACAGCAACTCTTATAAAGGAAAACATTTAGTTGGGGCTGGCTTACAGTTTCAGAGGTTTAGTCCATTATCATCCTGGCGGGACATGGCAGCATACAGGCAGACATGGTGCTGGAGAAGGAGCTGAGAGTGGAAAAGGAGCTACATCTTGATCCAAAGGCAACAGGAAGTGCACTGAGACACTGGGTGTGGCTTGAGCACATACGAGACCTCAAAGCCCGCTTCCACAGTGATAACACCTCCTCCAACAAGGCCAAACCTACTCCAACAACACCACGCTTCCTAATAGTGCCACTTGCTCTGAGTTTATGGGGGCAATTCCATTCAAACTACCACACATGGCATGTGTTTTGCTAATGCAAAGGGAATGGTGTCTCTCCCCATCCTAGGTGGGTCAGGGATCGGCCCAGACCTTTAGTGGGGTTGCTGCTTTGCAGATCGGATCGCACCTGGAGTTCCTAGGCTCCTGCTGCTACCTCCAACTAGGGTCACCACTGGGGCCCCTCTTACCTCTATTATTGTCTTTGTCATGACCTCACCACATTGCTGTGCAGGCCTTGGGACTGGGCTCCTGCAGGAGGAACCCTAGGAATGAGGGGCAGGAGTGCAGTCTTACCACTGGGCCCTGGAAGTCTGTCCATATGCATAGGATTGTATGTAGCTGGAGAGGGCTCCCATCTTTGCATACCCTGCCAAGGGCTGTGACCTAGTCAGTGGAGGTGAAGTTAGGTTAGGGCTAGGCATACCAGAGAAGCTGTCCAGTGGAATCATACAGGGGCATACAGGGAGCTGGGTTTGAGATGCCTATAGACTGCAGATTAGAAGACAGAGCTGGGCTAGGAGATTTGGCTGTTCTCAGCTTTTCTGTGGCATCTTGCCAGCCTCAGATGCTGTTGTGTCTCATGGGAAGCCTGCTCCCAGACTATTTCCATACTTGGAAATGGCTAGGATTTAAGCTTATGCTCCTCTAGCCCTCTTCTCTGCGTGACTCCCACGTACAAGTGGCTTTCTATGATCAGGGCATTTCGGGGCACCTGTGGAGAGGAGGCTGATGGAACGTGAATAGCAAAGAATTCCCTCCCGATAGTTGTCGTCTGCTGCCTGACTTATTGGCCACTAGGGGGCGGGCTGGCACCAGGCCTGGCCCTCAGCTCCAGCAAAGACCCCAGGGAACAGCATGCTACCCAGCAGCCAGCTCAGGGTATCTATCACCCATGGCTCCTGGAAAACTTCCTGATTTCTGGGGTTGGAGCATGTTCCTCCTTGCTTTCCCACAGGGTCGTGGCTCTCCAGCAGACCCGCCCCCATTACAATCAGTGGTGACTGGGTGTGGGAGTCTATGTAAAAAACAAAACAAAACAAAACAAAACAAAAACCCAGGCTCAGCAGGTCCAGCACCTTGTTCCAAGTGGGGACCTGGAGGGGCCCAGAAAAAAGAGACTGACTGGGTGGAGGTAGCAGGGCTCACCCCAGACCAAGCAGTGCCTTACCTGGACGTTGAGACTCAGTTTAGGGAGCCTACATCACACTCCACCTCTCACAACCCTCTCTTGGAAGCAGGGTGGTGAGGATTCTTCAAGGTTCAGGGTGTAGGTGCATGAAAGGAGGAGGGTCCCTCACCATCCCTCTGACATCTGCAAAGGGCAGGGTTTGCCATGCATGCCTGCCAGGGTGTTAACCCTGTGTCCACCCCTGCGGGCTTGCAGGGTAGTGGCTGCAGTGGAATGGGCTAGCCTGCTTGCCATCGAGGAGGACTGCATGTTTGGGTGCCTGCTGAATACCTCTCCCTCATTCAACCTCACAGCCTCGCCACACTCGGGAAACTGCCTAAATCCAAGTTGCACACGGGAGCCTAGGCAGCAGCAGGAATCCATTGAATGGGATGGAAAAGTAGGCAGCGAGCTTTCCTGGGGTCCCTAGGGCTCTTCTCTGCTTAGGTTCCTCCTAGGCTGTCTCTTATCGGCTTGTACTGAGCCACCCCTCCCGTCCCGAACATCCACATCTGGATGAGTTCCAGCTGAGCCCTCCTAAGGAATGAGATCATCCTGGTAGTTAGACTCACCTTGGACCAGGGCTGTGTGCAGAA